GATAAGTCATTTAGTCTGACATCATTTGTACTCCACCTCTGATTCATGTGGGGAAGTTGGCAGTCACAAAACTTGTTCGGTTCTGTAAGCTAAATATCATTATCCTAGGGGAAATCTTGTTCCGTTCCGCAAAATATCATTATCCTAGGGGATATTTATACTTTGCGGAACGAAACGGAATCACAATTTATAGAGTTGAAGACAAGGATTGTACACAATGCTGACTGTAATAGTGATATTTCAGCTTTATTAGTGCATTCACATTCAAATTATATGGCAAACATGGTTTTAAATTTAATTTGTTTACGATAATAATATAGTTTCCAACACGCACACTTAGGTTTGTAGGTAAGAGCGTCGGTCTTCGGATCGCAGAGTCGCAAGTTCGATCCGGGAAGTTGGCAGTTACTTGCGGAGAACAGGTAAGTACGGGTTCAGAATCCGGGAACACCGTTTAGGTTAACTGCCCATCGTTACATGACTGAAATACTGTTGAAAACCGACATTTTTGTATTTTATTTATATGTTGTGATTTCTAAAAGTGACGAGTCTTCATTAGCAGGATAGGTAGCCTGCGATTTTGTTTATGCATCATGAATGATTATTTATATGTGAAGTTTATACAAGCATTATAAGAAAATTGGTATTGAATAACAAATCTTGTTCCGTTCCGTTCCGCTAAATATCATTATCCTAGGTCATATTTATACTTTGCGGAACGAAACGGAATCAAAATAAATAGAGTTGAAGACATGGTTTGTACACAATGCTGACAATAATAATGATATTTCAACTTTATTAGTGCATGCACATTCAAATTATATTGCAAACATGTTTTTAAATTGAATTTGTTTACGATAATTATATACGTTTCCAACCCGCCCGCTTAGATCAATAGGTAGGAGCGTCGGTGTCTACATGTAAGTTCGATCCTTGGGCGGGCAATGTTCTCCGTGCCGATTTGATAAGACATTTAGTCTGACATCATTCGTCCTCCACCTCTGATTCATGTGGGGAAGATGGCAGCTACAAATCTTGTTCCGTTTCGTTCCGCTAAATATCATTATCCTAGGGGATATTTATACTTTGCGGAACGAAACGGAATCAAAATAAATAAGAGTTGAAGACAAGGTTTGAACACAACTCTGACTGTAATAGTGATATTTCAGCTTTATTAGTGCATTTAATTTCAAATAAGATATATATACATGTTCTCAAATTTAATTTGTGAACGATAATTAGATAGTTTCCACATTTCTGTATTTGATTTATATGTTGTCATGTCTAAAAACAAAGTGACGAGTCTTCATTGGCAGGATAGGAAGCCTGCTATTTCGTTTATGCATCATGAATAAATGTTTATAAGTGAAGTTTATATCAGCATTATAAAGGAGGAAATTTTCATAAATAACAATTATTAAATCTTGTTCCGTTCCGTTCCGCTAAATATCATTATCCTAGGGGATATTTATACTTTGCGGAACGGAACGGAATCACAATAAATAGTATTGAAGACATGGTTTGTACACAACGCTGACTGTATTAGATCTGTAGGTAAGAGTGCCGGTCTTCGGATTGCAGAGTCGCAAGCCGTTCGATCCTCGGGCGGGCCATTTTCTCCGTGGCGATTTGATAACACATTGAGTGTGACATATTCGTCCTCCACCTCTGATTCATGTGGGGAAGTTGGCAGTTACTTGTGGAGAACAGGTAAGTACGGGTACAGAATCCAGGAACACTGTTTAGGTTAACTGACTACGTTACATAACTGAAATACTGTTGAAAACGGTGTTAGATCCCAAACAAACAAAGATAGTTTCCACATTTCTTTATTTGATTTATATGTTGTGATTTCTAAAAGTGACGAGTCTTCATTAGCAGGGTAGGTAGCCTGCGATTTTGTTTATGCATCATGAATGATTATTTATATGTGAAGTTTATACAAGCATTATAAAGGATGAAATTGGTATTGAATAACAAATCTTGTTCCGTTCCGTTCCGCTAAATATCATTATCCTAGGGGATATTTATACTTTGCGGAACGAAACGGAATCACAATAAATAGAGTTGAAGACATGGTTTGTACACAATGCTGACTGTAATAGTAATATTTCAGCTTTATTAGTGCATGTAACATCAATTTATATATGACAAGCATGTTTTCAAATTTAATTTGTTTACGATGATTATTGATATTTTAATACAAAATGAGTGTACTGGATATGACGGCCATTGGACACATATTAAAGAGGTCCTGATATCGCCAAAAAATATTTAGATTGTCCACTCATTTTTTTTTCATTCGTCAGTTTATATGAATAATAAATATTAAATTACTGCAACACGTGTAAAACATTTAAATATATAAATTTTATGGCGATAGGATTTCCTATATTGAACAAGTCAAGAACATAGTTTTTTAAAACAGGTTGCATGTAATAAATTCATGTACCTGTAATATACCAAGATGAAAAATTCCACTGAGAAGAAAAAATAAATCTTGTTCCGTTCCGTTCCGTAGAATATAATTATTCTATGGGATATTTATACTTTGCGGAACGAAACGGAACAACTGTTTGCAGTCCCGAAGATTTTATATAAATAATGTCCATTTACACGTGGGTATTCAGATGGTTCATTTCGAAAAAGCCCTAGATCGACTGTTCGCTAGGCAGTTTCAATATTTCATTATTTTTATTTAATAAATTTAGATATTAGTAAAAAATTGCTGTGCCCCGTGTGGTGCCTCAATGTTTGTTCCGTTCCGTTTCGTTCCGCAAAGTATAAATAGCCCTTTTTTAAACTTAAGATAATTGTTCTTCGTTACACTCACATCATGTATGCCAATAGTTCATAAGTCTCAAAGAGTTATCTCGTCTTTAAGAATTTTGCTTTTAAAAATTATATATTTTGGTAACAACCAGGGTGTTTAAAATGTTAACCTTAGAGAGTCCTTCAATCCGTCTGTCTGTCTGTCTGTTCCTAAAAATTGTTTCCTAAGATCACTTTTAAAGGACTTGGAACTTTTCCAACAAATTTACTTAAAATAGAGAAAAGTTGAAACATTAGTTATATATATATATTCATCCTGCGAAAATTGGCCCTTAATTATGATTATCTGTTGTATAAACATAATTTCCTTATTAGCTAGGCACGCAAACTAAGAACTCAAAAGATTTTAAGTTCATTCAGGTCATTCATTCGTTCAATGGCATAATTGAATGGACAATGGCCCAGTGTTGCTGGGGTTCTAACCGGTAGGGGACTTATGGATTGTTTTCAATACTATGATAATTGCTTGTTTAGTCAAGTTTATCCATGTTTTTGAACTCATTCAATATATTAATAAAAGAAATATTCTCACAATGTTTGATGTCGATGCAAAAAAAAATGTGACCTTCATACAGTATTAACAAGCAGGACATTGACAGATTCTAACAGCTCATTTGAATACTAGGTTCTCAGGTGAGCTACATTAGTTCGAATTATCAAATTTACTATTACCCACCCACCGTTCCGTTTAAAATTTGAATTGTTGTCCGAGTCTAATTGCTCAAGTATTAAAACAATTTCAAATTCATTCTTATGAAAATTGAAATAGTTTTTTGACCCAAGGTAACCAAAAATTAATCTTGTCAAATCTTTAAATGAGACAAAAAGTTGAAGAAAACTATGATCTAGGCTTTCCTTTTATTTGACTTTTTGACCTACTTTGTTAACCCAAGATGACCCATAATCTAACCTGACCAATATATCATAGAAATAAACATTCTGACAAATTTTGTTGAGGATCAAATAAAAAAATGACATTTTGAAAGTAAACAGGGTTAAATCTAGTGATGTAGATTTGTTTTACCAAGATGAATCATTATCAAATATACAAAGTTTGATATCGATTGTAGCTAATTTCATTGGTTCATATCAATATGTGCGTAGTCTGATTAGACAAATTGTAGTCCAAGTGGTGTAAGCTCAAGATATTACACGTATGCCATTTGGATAGGCTTCATCTTAAATATGAAGTATAAACCTTCAATATAATGGGTTTTGAAAGTAGAGTTGTTATATACTCCATTGGAAACAGAAATTACCCTTCATTTTTAACGCCTTTTCATTGATTTAGAAAACAGAAACGCTATTTAATGAACAATTTAGATGACAAGAAACATACAGATTTTACGTCATTATTATGTCTAACTGTATTTTTCTTTCAAATGTCTAATTATTTTCAAATGATAATATGCTTTTGCTATTTTCCGACATACAAATTTACATTTTATGCAAAAAGTCATACATTAGATTTTGCATTGATTTTATAAGTTTATTTTTTTTTATATAACGAATACAGTTTTCCTTGCTTGATACTAGTACTTGTACTTTAGTCAACTCAAAGAATCCTTCAGTTTACATTCTCGTTTCATAACCCTGACATAAAAACGTGCTTTCACAAGACCACATCTTTATAACACCCTTTCGCAATTGATATATTTTTGTGAACGAGACGGCCATGATGACCCTTATTAATCGCTCACCAGAGGCTACTGTTTACATGGACAAGATCTAAATACTGGGAAATTCCTTGTTCAGCAGACCGGAAGGATTTGAGCTTTTTGTAAAAGGCTACCTGATGATATTTGCTGTAAAATGTCATCAAAAGCAACCAAGTGATCGAGTTAAGAGTTTTGTTTTCTATTTTTAGCTCTTGCTGCAGTTTCTGCTATTTAGCAATGCTGAGCTATTTCTCTATTTTAGCAAGTAAAATAGCATTGTAACCTTAGCGACTGTAGGATGTCATGTAAAGTTTTAGCTCTGGTGGCCACCCGAACCATTTAAGCAATTTTAGTAAAGAAAAACCTAAGAACCATACTCGTATAGTTTCATCACTATTTGCCAAGGAACTGATGAGATTTTAAGTACAATATTATCGACAGAAGGCGGACACAGAGGTACCACAGTAGCTCATATATAGCTTAATTATTGGATATAAAAATAGAACCATTAATTTCAAATTTATTGATATACATACAATGTATAATTATAAGAAAACAAGGAGTTTATATAAAAAGTATAAAATCACATGTAATAAATAATATGTTCATTAATAAAAATACAGACTGCTTTTACTAACATTTCATAAGAATTACACCTGTTGCGCTGAAGATGGATATGTAACAGATAATAATGTAGTAAAAAAGGTTCCGATATATTGCTACATTAATGGTGACGACCTAGGCATAGAGTGGTGATATTTGTCCAACCCGTTTTATCAAGCCAACTCTGGAATGAAATTGGCAACTGTACTACAAACATATTCACTGACGTAAATGCTAGAAACTATAATTGTACTTTTGAATTATATAAGGAAGTCTGTGGGAAATACTATTCTTTTTCACTTGGTCAACTCGTGTAGCTTTCCTTCTAAAACTTTATCGGGATCTTCATCATTTTCCCGAATTCGTTTCAACAAGCTTTGTCCTTGTTCATTTATACTATCATCTGAAGGAGGTCTAGGTAAGGAATCAATCCGCTCAAGAGTTTTCCGGTCCTCCATTTTCACTTTTTCAACAACTTCTGTATCGCTTGGATGACTTATTGCATACAATTTTTCGCCAAGCCCGCGGAGACGTTTCCCATATTCTAATTTCTGGTAATTATTTTTGTTAACTCCATAAAATCCAAACATAGCGCCATAGCAACAAGCGGCAATGACACCAGTGCTGTCACTATCACCACTATGGAACATTGATCTACTGCACAGGTCAGGCCACGTGCCATCATAACTCAGGAGAGCGTCGTATGCGATCATAGGAGCGTCATGACCACTTGAACCTCCCCATCCACTGTAACTGAGCGATTTATAAAAATCATCACGTTCTTTCACGCCAAATACTTCTGGAAATTTCGGATCCTGTAGGCCGTCAGAAATGCCTCTGAGTTCTAGATATTCGGTCCATCGCTTAGTAAAGTAGTCCCATGCATTAACGTTATCCTTCACGTCTATATTACTATCTTTCACATATTGTAGAGCTTTAGGCAATGTTTCCATTAATCCCGCACCCCAACTCTTCACTGGTTTTCCTTGAATGGCATATGATGTAAATAAAGCGGCAGCTAGAGCTCCTAAGTACCCGGTTGGATGGTGATGTGTCATACGCCCCGATTCAACACTTACTGCAATAAGATTGCCTATATCTTCAGGTTTTGGATAAAACAGTCCTATGCACATTGCCCTCATCGCCGCCCCGCAACCACCGCCCCTTGCATTAAATGGAATGATGTACCCGCCACGTCTTGATGTCTTTAACATGTGACACGAACCCATACACGTGGCACCTGGTGCTCTGCCGGTCATGTCATTCATGCAACTTTTGTATTTGTCGGCAATCTTCATATACATTCGTTCCTGTGGTTCTGGCTTTAAGCCTTTCGATTCCAGGAAGTTAATAAATTCTACAAGGCCTTCGGCTGTCGCTATGTGCATTACAGTATCGTCACTGACCATCCAGTTTTTCGGGTTTATTTTGATATTGTCTACACCACCCAACTGTTTCGCTTCTTCGTGTATCAATTCTCCAGAGTGACAAAACTCCCAGGATCCATTTTTGTAACCTAGAGCGTCACCAACACCGCTTAAAACCATAGCAGCTTCATACCTTTCCTTCAAACTTACTCGATTAGAATTCGCCATTATAAATATTTGTCTCGCTATAACTGTCCTTTTTAAAGAAACTATGTAAACCCTGAATAAATGTCGATTTATAAACACAATACTACACATCCATAAGTTAAATAACTAGCGAACTACCACTGTTATTTACTTTAGTAAATACTAAATAGTAACATTTACGCCTTACACGATAGTTTCGCCTTTATATTGACTATCTATATATAGATATTCTATATGCCGTAAATTTATGTGTAACACAGACAACTCTAGCTGAGTAATCTGACTAAAGAAATGTTAAGAGTGATTTTTCTTTACATATTACAAAAGCTATACCAAGCACGTCAAGCGATCAGACAGTGCGTATCATCTGGGTGACAGTCGGCCGGGTTAACTATGTAGTGACATACTTGTAAAACCAATAAATCTGCCGAAAGAAATAGAATTTAATTTAGTAACTTGTACGTCTACTGAAGTACATCAAATTAATTTAAATCAATTGATTTCTATTTTTTACTTGTCTGTTTCTTTACTAGTTGATGGTTGAGGGGATTTTTCCTGCTTTTCTTTCACTTTTTCAGGGTGACTTATAGTAAACAATTTTTTACTAATCTCTTTCAGACGTTCTCTATATTCAAGATTTATGTAATTGTTTTTATTGACACCTTTAAACCCAAACATTGCACCATAGCAACATGCAGCGATTACGCCCGTGCTGTCACTATCCCCACCGTGAAACATAGCCCTATTACACAGATCAGGCCATGAGCCGTCGTACCCGAGTAAAGAATCATACGCGATCATAGGCGCATCATGGCCGCTTTTCCCGCCAAAACCTCCACGCATGTGTCCAATCGAACTGTAGAAGGCGTCCCGTTCCTTAACGCCAAACTTTTTAGGAAACTTGGCAGAACTTTTTCCATCAGTTATACCTCTTAACTCTAAATACTTCGTCCACTTTCTTGTGAAATAATCCCAAGCTTCGACGTTTTCTTCGACGCATATATTACTTTCTTTGATATACTCAAGGGCGATTGGTAGAGTCTTCATAAGCCCAGCTCCCCATTCCTTTAATGGTTTTCTCTGAATTGAATAGGAAGTGAACAAGGCCGTGGTTAAAGCCCCGAGATACCCTGTAGGGTGATGGTGGGTAATGCGTCCTGACTCAACACTTACTTGTATAAGTTTTTCTAGGTTCTCCGGATGTGGGTAAAACAGTCCTATACACATAGCCCTCATGGCTGCTCCGCATCCACCACCACCTTTATTAAACGGAATAATATAGCCTCCACTTTCTTCTGGTTTCAAAAGTTCGCATGAACCAACACATGTTCTACCAGGTGCTCTTCCTTTCATATCGTGCAGACATTCTTTATAGTTGGTGGCAATTTTTGCATACAGTTGTTCTTGGGGTTCTGGTTCCGATTTATCACTGTTTAAGTTATACCACTCTATTAGAGCCTCTGCCGTTGCCATATGCATTACTGTATCATCGCTGACCTTCCAGTCTGGCAACTCCACTTTGATTTTGTTCAAACCTCCAAATCCTCAAGTTCCTCGTGTATTTCTTCGCCCGAGTGGCAGAATTCCCATATGCCATTCTTGTATCCTAAAGCATCCCCGGCTCCGCTCAAAACCATAGCCGCCTCATACCTTTCCTGCAGACTAGTCCCTATAACACTCCTCTTTAGTTTGTCTAAAAGACTCATCATGAAAGAAATTTTATTAGGAATTTTATTAGGAATGCGATCACTCGTACAACTTCGTAATGAGCTACTGCAGTATATGTGAGAATTTTCGTGAGGCTACATATATTGATATTGCCATGCGATTAGTCGATACTCATATGCAGTAGTATGTTACGAAGTAGTGAATAGATTTAAACACAAGATATATGCAGGTCATTGGCTCAAGCTATTTTCGCCACACGTTTCAAATGCAAAAATGTCCACGAATGAAAAAATCCGGTTTCTTTTTTAACAGATGTTTACGTATGAAATAAATGAAGGGAGATGTCAGTCTAAAATGCTATTTTCCCAGTTAATTAATTAGATATAGAATATCTGTTCAGCTACACATCCAGTAGATCTATTTAATGTCTTCCCAGATTCAATAATTGTAAAGTTATCCAGTCATGAGTGCTATTATCTTTCATTTAAATTATGTTTAAACGGTTCTATAATTTATCGCGAAACAAATGGTTCTACATTGGTCGTATACCTTTAATTTCACGGTTGACTTATTTCTAGTTATTTTTACACCCTAGCAAGGGAAACTGAAATGGACTCGCCCAATAAGTATAGCTGATTTCCAGCTTTCTTTTAATTTCACTGCCGGTGGAAGTGCATACTTTCAAGGTAAATACGGCTTGCCTACATGATAAATGAAATTGCATAGAAAGATGTTAGATCTAGATAACATTTTCACTAAATATTAATGAATTTACATAATCATTGTAAATTGTGTTTCTAATTTCAGTTCATCCGTAAACGCAAGCAATTCTGACTGGTTCCCAAGTTATACGCTTCACGAACTGTCAATTCGGTATTGACGTTGGGGATTTTCTCTATACATCAAAATATCCGATAAATATTCAGTATGCCATTTAGAACAACTAGAACAGTTCGTACTACTCGCCCTGACGGGACAGTTGAAACTAGAACCTATACCGACGGTGACGACGGCGGATCGTTTGGTGGCGGCATGATGGATTTCGGAGGATTTAGAAATAAGTTTGGAAATATGAAAATCAGTTTCGGTGGAGGTGATAGTGGAGATGGGGGGTATAGCTATAGTCTCGGTGGGGGTGGAAGACAAACCCAGCGAGGATGTGTTTCTGGAAGAAGTCACCGCAAGGAAAAGAAAAATCCATTTGCAGGGCTGGGGAAACAAAGCTATGAGGAAATTGTTAAGAAGTGTAAGGAAGAAGGTTGCTTGTTTGAAGATCCAGAGTTTCCAGCAGAGGATGCTTCTATCTTCTTTAGCAAGTCACCTCCGAGACCATTTGAATGGAAGAGACCATCGGTATGATAACATTCATTTACTTTCACTTCATTCCATTATCCAATAAGTGATTACCTGTTACTTGCATTTTAAATGCATCAATTGATCTTTTCTATCTGATAATCATTATCATGCCATGTTTGATCATATAAAGCTTTGATAAAAATACTTTTATAGTTTAGTGCAAATTTAAATCACCTTTCTAAAAAATCTGTCCAACTTTATATTAATATGTTACATTCTGGTGCTACTTTGTAAGTCAGTTACATTTTGTAGTAAATTGTTACCTACTTTGGTCTAGCCAATATATGTCAAGTTGTCAACAATGTATTATCTGATATTTCAGTTTTTTAAATATTTTTCATTAATATAGTAGATCTACTTTGACTGTGTTTACTTTTATTCCTTGTTTAAGACCTTTATTGAGTAATTGAGAATCAAATATATCTTCAAAACCTACTGGATTTAATTCTTAAATAATAAATAGATCTAGTTTCACCCTGTTTAAGAACCATGCATTATTAAATGATGCCAAATTGACAAATATAAACTGCATGACTGTGCAGACTGACCTATGGCAATTAAAGGGTCTTTTTAAAGCTAAATATTTACTAGTACTTTTACTTAAAAAGTGTAGACAAAATGCCAAAGCAACCAAAAGCTACATTAAAACTGCATTACTTAGTAAATACTTACTTGGTAAATGGATCTGATGACCATTGTTACAATTGACTGAATGCATTTCACAGGTATTTTTCTAAGCTGGACTTTCCCAATTTTCTCAAATATTATACATAAATTTGTATGTCATAAGAAAAATTGGTATTATTGAAAAATTGAACTTTTTTATCAGTGTTTGTAGCTTCCTGCATTAAGCTTGCTGCTTCTTAAATAAACAAAACATAATAGACTCAACCAAAACAAGCGCCTGCTTCTTCACCTAACTATGTAGTTGCATGACCATGATTAGCAATTTAGCAAACCAAATCTAAGAGATAAACCTATTGTAAAAATAATACTATGACCACAGCAGATTTCGTACAGAAAATATAACACTGACTGGGACATAATAATAATATAATGGGTTGACAACTGGGAATTAGTGTGACATTATAATTATCTTAATTGCTGATATTTTATGAAATGGTCTTCACATAATTATCTTGTTACGGAAAATCAATGAAATTTTTATAATGGCAGTGATAACTTTTTTATTATTTAATTGGTTTATCATCTGTCGATACTTGAATCATTATAGTAGCTGCTTATCCCACTATATAACATCCCTGGCATTTACAATGAGTAATTTTTAATGCTGCTGATTGGGGCATTTTAATATATATGTAATCTTAGACAGCTGGACATAGGTATATGTTAACATGTACATTGTGTATTATAATAAACATAATTATCATCTCTTAACATGTACATGCTGTGTGTAAACTCCTTCAAGTTTGGTCTCTGAGAGTTCATCATTGAATTTTCTCAGCTGCTTTGAAGCTAGCTTTCTTTGCTTTAGTTAATAACCTGTTGCTAGGTTACCTTTAAGAGGGCTCATTAGATGTGGTGAACATAGATAACATATTTACATATAATACACAATATGTACTGTTAATGCAATACATAAAGATTGTACTAGGCAATCTTATTTGGGGTAAACTTGATAATAATTTTCAGACTTGATGTAGTACACATTTTTTGTCATGCCGGATGCAATATGGCTAGATAAAACATCATAAAAGGTTGGAGGTCAAATTTTGAGTGATACAAACTTGTCACTTGTCCTCCCACATTATAAAACCTTGATAATACTCCTATTTCATTTGTTTACATTAGATAAGGCAAGTGTGTTATGATCGATTATTGAAACATAGTTTATCTTTAATTAAAGCAGCATGTCTTCAGATTCATACTAATTTTCATGAAAATTTTTTAAAAAGTAAAATATTATGAAGTGAACAAAGAGATTAATTTACACACAGCAATCAGCACGTAGAATCCATCCATGCAATTTATCCAAAAGGAGGTCAAAATAATGCAAAAATAGCCCTTACTGCTTAAGTAACGCATTAGAAATATTGTGAAAAATACTGCAAAATTGGTCTTTAATCGAACATGACATTGTAAAATTGATTGCTTGAATTTTGATTTTTTTTTTACTTTTCTTAAAATCTTAGTACATTTTTCTCAAGTTTGAATTTCTTGAAATAGTTTGGCTATTCATGAGGCATGCATCTTTAAATGTAAATGGAGTTTGAAAAAAAACATCAATGTTTCAGTTGTTAAATGAAAAATTCACTTTGGGAAAAATATTTGATTTTATTTGACTCAATGAATGACATTAATTTATTGAAGTTGAAACATAACACTTGGTCACAAGGATGAAGAAGCTTTTACTGGTCAGTGCTTATATTATTTGACCTGAACTAATCATGCACTGCAGTTAAAAAAATGTCCTTTCCATTCACCTGTCATTACAGTTTAATGTTATATATATTATAGATGACTATTTGTGGTGGATAGAAAAGTGCTGTTTATTAATGACTTGGCTTTTCTCCAATTTTACAATTTATATTGATCAAATTATATCAAATTCATTTAATAGTGAAGTGATGAAAAGCAGGTAAACATTCCAATTGATAAAAGGAGAGAGGGGAAATAGAACTGTCAAATTTAGTTATATACATTTGATGATAGGTTAGAGGTCACATATATACATGAGCTGACATGTCTTAGTATAAAAAAAGGACTAGATTGATATATTGTAAATACTAAAATCTTGCTGGGAAATTGCTATCATTTATGTGCATGATTAAATATAACTGAAAAAATGTTGCTTTATTTTTTTGATAAAAGTGCAATTGGTCTTCTGCACTGTTATGGGAGCATATTGAAATTGTTCTCTAGCTTCTGTCAGCAATCAAGAGGGCCTAAATAGTAACTAATTCTACCTCATAATGTACCGACTGATCATAGTCAAAAGTCATGACAAATAATGGTTTTATCCAGATTGAAAGCTACTGTAGACAAGTCAAGATGCATGGTTAGCCCGTTTAGCCTTTTACATTAGACCATTCTGCAGGCTATATACATAACTTTTAGTTACATATACTTTAGAATTAAAATATGATATTATATATGGGGAACAATTTGAAATTGTTATATTTTTGTAAATGACTTATATATAATATATGGTACTGTACATATAAGAAATTAACATTTATATAGGCTGATTATATTAGATACAATAAGTTATTTTAGTTTGTAGTCAGATTTCTGTTTCTCACAGTATAATTTCAATGTTGAAATGTAATATTGCACCAATCTGTTTACTAAAACTCCTATTGCCTCACACATATATACAATTACATACACTTTTATCCAGATTTCACTTAACTTAAATAATACAGATACATTTAAGAAGATATTGTTATACATGGTTTGTTGAGGTTTTATAGGGTAAATTTTAAGTCAAGCGTGAACTGACAAGAATGTTAAAAGCATAATTATAATATTTATGTGTTATAAAAATATAACATGTTTATCAAAATGGCTTTTCTTAACCTTGTCTTTATAAGGGTTATGTGAAAAAAGCTTTTTAAGACGAACGTTTTGTATAAAATAATGTTGTGTAATATTATTTGAAACTTAAATTTTCTGTTTGGATTCCTTAAGTACATTGACAATATATAAAACCACCACCATGAAAGCCGTTTTAGCATAATATAAATCAGTTGTATAACACAGGTAAAAATATCTGCCGATTAAGCAAAATCATTACCTATACAATAATCAAATAAAAGCAAAAGTTTCAGTATGATCTTGTTTTGAAATTGTGCCATTTTGTAAGAGAAAGAGAAAAGAGTAGGGGGGCGTTTAGTTTTAGCAAAATCCAGGTAAATTTGAGTCATGAAAGTAGACAGAAGTCTAACTGATCATAGTGTATAGAACTCTTTTAGAAATGTTGGCAAGTGATGAGAGTCAAGAAAATGGTTTTCAGGTCTGGGAAAACATACATACCGATATTGATAAACACATGAACTTACACCTGAGGTGAAATTTTTACATATTTGCTGTACCAACTACCAGAAGTGTTATAATACCCGGGGGTTACAATATGTTTCAACTTTGTACATTAATATCAGTATTCAGAAAAAACTAAAATATCAATGAGTTTTCATAATGTTATTAGTAAAATAAATTCCTCTGCACAAGAAGAAAGTTTAATATATGGCCAACTGTATGATTTTCAAGGCCACAAGTTTAAGAAAATATAGCTTATGAATTCATTAACACAACATACTCAAATTATATCAATTAGATCAAGGCTCAGATGATAAAGTTAATTAAGACTCTACCAACCAAGAAATGAAGATAATTAATTCCAATATTTTTTGCTCATTATAAATTTTAGTTGTTTATGTTAGTTTCTGGTGTATATTATAAGTAATGTTTATGTTACACACACTTAAAGCTGTCCAAATGTTTTTATTACAATAGGACAAACTCTGGGGACAATTAAGTGCATCGGTTTTATGAACATTTTGATGACATTTTGACAGACATCATCCATGTTGACCTTGGACCTGCATATTTTTATTGATAACTTAAATGCTTTTTCCTAACAAAATACATGTACATTAATTATACTTTGTTTGCATAAAATTATCATAACTTTTAGGACTGTTCATGTTTTTAATTAACTGATAGTTTTAATGAAATATACAGACATGAGTTACAATTCAAATTACCTGAAGCCCTTCCCCCATAATAAATAGTTGAATCCCACGCCCACTTAAAAAAATTTTTACAGTGGATTTTAAATTTGGATTTGCAAGGATTTGTAACTTTATATCAAATTAAAACTGTGAATATAGAGTTGTATTAGGTCTAAATAGTGATATATTAACAAGTTTAAATTACCCCTAGTTTCCAGGAAGTTAATAATTGCAACTGTATTATATTGCATGTATTTCATATTATAGTTATACATTTAAAAACGGATATCATATTTTAAGATTAAATATTGATCATAATATTGAACAGTCAAGACTTGTGTTTACTTTCAAACTTCATTTGTGCAAGGCATATTTACTTTGTAATATAAACATATCATTGAGTCAAGTTTGGTTTTTAATATTAATATCTGAGTATTTGATTTACTTCAAGTTCCATAAAATATGCAGGAATTCAAACATGAAGTAGATTTTTCCTGCTTTTAATTTTTGCTGAGCCAGAAAACAGAACTGAAACTCTCTGTGGATTTATTGATGAATAAAACATTACAGTAGCCTATTAACATCTGAATTCTATAACTGATATACAATGTAGCTATAAAGTTTGGTATTCATTGATGTAGTAATATAAAATCATATAATACCAGACATATATCTATCCTTATTTGTGTTTCTGGAATGTGTGAATGCTACTACATCAAAGTCACTGTGGAAGTGAGTTTGCCCAACATAGTGATTGCAACATTATATTTAATGAGTCTTTGAGTTTGTGGGCTGTTTTATGTGCTGTATATATTTCTGCAAGTCATTTAGTGTGAATATGTTGATGATCAGTGTATATAATATACTGTTGTATATGCATTTTTAAAATTAGATATTATATCCCACATTGTTGAATTTAGTAAAGCAGGTGCAATATTGGGCAATATAGACCTGGGCCAACATTTTCTTTATTTTTTTAATGATTCAAATGATTCAATGATTTAACATTCATGCCAAAACTTGCTAATTTGCATTATAGAATACAAAATGTTTTGACCATCGTCCAAATTGCTGCCCCCTAATCACCATTATAAGCATGCAAGTGACTTAAAGGACCAGCTATGCCTATTTATGCCTTACTAACATGGTTATTTATACTGAGTGTTTATTGTTAAATAGATACTACATATATATTTACATGCTGAGTTTTCTTCATATATCTTACTATTTCTTTCAACTTAGTACTTTTTTGGCTTATATTGTGTGATCACTATTGGTAGGTCTTCTGGGATCCTACATGTTTACCGGACAATCAGTTTACCGGACAAAATCTATTCCTGTCAAAATTTTTTTTAATAAGGCTTTGTTTTTTGCTTCGATTAAAAAAATCATCCGGTCTTAATCGTACACACACTTTCTATTTCAAAGTAAATAACAACAAAACCACTCTCAGGTTAATTTTGTTGATTCAGTTCTTTATTTACTAACATGCCCTTATGTTTACTAGTTATTCCATGACCTGGTCATGCGGGGGAATAATCTGTTCTGCGCATTCCCGAATATTGAGGCCCTTAATGGGTTATTTTAGATAGGTTACCTCAGGAGACAATCGTAACATATTTTAATGATAAAAAGTAACTTTAAATTTCGTTTAAACAATATCTCGTTGTTGTCTTTTACAAAGAAATGCAAATTAAAAAACATATACGGAAACGGGTTACGCCCATGGGAGGAAACTCTACATGAAATGTACAAAAAATAGACTTTATGGCTTTTGCAACATCCTACATGATGACCAAAAGGAAACTGTATGAGAAAGAACAGAATTCCATTTGAATATCAAAATGTGTCATACGTTTAAGGATCATTTAAGGATCATGAAGAATCAATACGTTAATTGAGTTAATAGTGTTAATTTCAATTACACCCCTACATTGGCCTCTTCTTAACAAGCATGACTGCCGTGTCTATTTTAGTGACATACTGGGTTTTTCCAGCATCTTAACTTTGCCATTCAATAGTCGTAGTTTCCTTTCTTAATTTCAATTTAAGACTTCAAAAAATTTTGAAACACAATGTCCGGTAAATTGAGTTGTTTACACGATTTTTTCCTCTTTTAAGGCCCTACTTTAAAGACACTTTTCTACGGTCAAATGTATAATTCTATGTTTGATAAAGAAATGCTTACGTATATTAAGAACTCACAATTATTTGGGTAAAATTTCATTCTTTTTTATTATTTTAAATAAAAGTTACAGCGAAAAAACATCATATTTTGTCCGGTAATATGTAGGATCCCAGTATAGATCATCGACATACTGCCTAGGTTTGAAAGTTGCTCCTGAACTTAAATATCTAAAATGACATTCTGACATAATGCAATAAATAATAAAGTATTACAAATCTAGCTACTTGGCATGACTACACAGTAAACAGGATATAAGAGGGCCATTCTAAGATCACACATAACAAAAACAGATGTTGTTTCTAGAGTTAATTACAGAACCTCTCACACACATAACATGTTCTGAAGAGTTGATATATAAGTTTGGTATTCTCTACTTACCAATTAGGTGTATAATTGCTTTATAGATTACTGTTTTTTTTGACAAAATTAGGATTCTACCTAGTAACATTTTAAGTGCACAATTGTGCTATTTTTTACTTGCAACACTTTGCAGTGAAATATTCATATACAACCTTTGACTGTTTTAATATTCAAAGTAATGGTGCATATATGATACTCTTTATATTTTTTTAATTTTGAGTTTGAGCACTTATTGAAACTATTCATTTGGTTCAAGATATCCCCTACTTACCATAGTTACCAGGTGACATGCACCATAGAAATTTACATATAGTTAATTACAACTAACAGTTTATTATATAGAGTAAACATTGCATGAGCAGTGTTGATGCTGATGATAACAATGCAAGATGTGGTGTTAAAATCTGTTTATTTCTTACCTTTCTTAATGTATGCAATATGATGTAAAGTCTCACTCTAAATAGATAGATCTGTTGATTTTTATGGAATGAAAACTTCTAACATTGATCATACAACTATATATAAGACAGATTGAAGGGACATTAAGGCTGTTGGGTGGGGTTGTAACTTGTATGTCATAGCAAGGACTGCGTGGTATTTATAATACATTGATATATGATATCTTCTGTGATTCATGATGACTCAGATTCCAGGAATTATATGTGATGTTAACTTACCTTGATAACAAAATTTATAAACTAAACAAACATGGCAAGCATCATTCAACAATACATCACACTGATTCTACTTACACCACAGGCATTGCAAGATCTTTTTGAAAATTGTAACACTTTTATAGCCCTTTTCAATAAAGCTTCTTTTTTTTAAAGTATCACTAATTTCATAGTTGAAGTTGTTTAGTCCCTTGAAGAAGAATAAGAGTTTTCACATACAATATTATTATATCTTTTCACCCCAACATTATTTTATGAGTTATGATGTGGTTCAATACACAGGGTTAAAAAGTTAATTTAATAATGAATGATTTTATATGATACCTAGGAGTAATGGTTCAGGTTTGATTACTTTACTATTGAAGTGGAAAATAAAAGTCAAATATAAAAACTGTAAGTTGTGTAGAGGAACTGTTGGCATTTTATACAGCCATCTATGTCACCTTTTCTAATTACCCAACCATTAGGTTTAGGTAATGGATGATTAATTCTACCAAGTCAGGCATAGATTATCAGTGTTTTCTCTCAGAAATGGTTGTTAAAATCCGTTATCAGCTAGAAACAATTAATGATAACATATTAGCCAGAATGTATTGTTCTCAATGCCAAGAACATAAAGTCATTAATTACAGTCAGATATGTCAGGTATTGTACTCCCTGCTGTAGGTTCAGGGTTGTTTACTGATATAAGACAGGTGTTACATGTTTCATACTAATATTTACTTTTATTCTCCCTGACTGGTGAGCTGGATTGCATCTTAGTGCATCAGATCTGCTGCTTTATCTACAAATATCAGCTGTTTTGAAATGATCTATTAGTAATAAACACACTTTCTGTAACCTTCTTCAGACATGAAACAAATTACCTTGAATGCTAGTGGTGGTGATGGCAGGGTTGAGCAGTGCCTTGGCTTTTATCAGTCGTCCAGGCAGACTGGCCAGTATCCATCATATATTATTTCTTGCATGGCTTACAAATTTTAGTACTTTGCTTTCTTATTCCATTTCTTAAAATGTTGTTTTATATTTTATGATATCATTTTAAATGTAGGGAAGGCAGTATTTTCCATAGTTAAGCTAGGAACAGCCTGACAACTTGGCATATATACTCCATTTGGATTATATGTGAACTATAGTTATAGTTACAAATATATGTACATTAACATCACAGAGCTTACATCTATATAATTTATGTTTCAGGAAATTTGTGATGACCCCAAGTATGTCACTGGTGGGGCTAGTAGGTTTGATGTCCAACAGGGTGAACTTGGTATGTATATTGCACATCATTTGTCATTTATTACTTTGTACTAAACATACCTCACTTAGAATGATCAAATATAATTTATGAGTAAATCATTGGTCATGTTACATGACATAAAATATTATAATAATAACATAGTTGTATGAATGTACTAGTATCTTGACAATTTCTTCTGGCATGTCTTCTGCCTGATTCATAAGAGGGGCCAGGTCTTTTAATATACTAAATTACTAATATATATGGATAAAACATTCACTTCCTGGTTGCTCAAACATTAGCATGTATTTTCATGTAGAGCAACGGTGGGTAATATCGACCCTTTAACGCGATACTATTCAATGAAATGTTGATTTAAGAATTTAGTAGCATATGACCTAAGCGTATGAACCAGCTTTTTCTATTGGTTGTTTCCAACCAATACGGTCGTCCGTTTTACCTTCTTAATGTCAGTGGCATATGTTTCCAATATACACGTGACACTGTCAGTATCGACCCCTTTCGGCTAATATCGACCCCCTTTCAATTTTTTAAAAATAAACACAATTCAAGGTTAAGATTTAAAAGAAAATGTATCGTTAATAACAAGTGCGATTATCAACCCAACAATTTCATTATAATTATACTACATGTACATAATTTATGTTTATTAAATATAAACAAGGCCTTAACACATATCAGGCAGTTTATAAACCTCTAAAACATGATGAATAACTTTTTTTTAAACTAAGAATACAAACGCAAATTACACTTGAAGATATCTATTTCATTCTCTTTTTTTCTTTTCAATTTCAATTTATCTTAAATATAACAGTTTCAAGCAACAACAACAAAAACAACAGTTGCATATGCACGAGTTCATTTCACTCACACGCATTGCACACAAAGACAAACGTGCTTTGATTGACCTCTGAATCTGTGTAGCCGGCACACACTACAAGCCATTGCCGACAACATGATTCACATGAAATCCATTTTTCTTGTAATTCTTCAGAAGATCTCCAGGTTTTGCATACAGGACAAACATCGACAAAGCTCTCCTCAAAATCATCACTGTCGTGATCCATGTATGGAATATCCATATCTGACATATCTGTGTCAGATTCGGAGCTATAAGTTACCTTTTTACTCTTTGAGTTTTGCTTCTTTGGTTTTGATGATAATTTCTTTTTAAGGTTTTCCTGTTTTTCTCGCTCGCGTCTTTCTTTCTCTTCTTCTTTCTGTTTTCTTTTAAGTTCTCTCTGACACTTTCTTTCTTCCTTCAACCTCGCTAATTCTTTCTTACGATCTTCTCTTTCTTTCAACATACTTAATGCTTCATCCCCTGATAACGCTTTCGGCAACTTATGCCGGAGCTGAACAATTTTCTTTTTTGGTTTTACTTCTGGCACACGTAAGTATTGAAATGCAGAAGATACCGTTGCCGGGTTTTTTGATAGACCTTTGGATGAAGAAGGTTGGGGAATAGGCAGTAAAGGACAAACGACTGATGATACAGCATCTGAAGTATTAACCGCAGGGGACACAAGGGTGTTTGATTGTATTATAGCAGAAATAGGACTGGCAGGAAAGACTACTGAATGAGTGCTTACAGGCAGTTGTTGTGCAGTGTCAACAAATTGGGAATTTACGTCGGGTTTTACATACGTGTTACTAGACGTAATTGAAATATCATTGTTGACAGTAGAAAGGGTAACCGTGCTTGATAAAGAGCCTACTACATTGACAATCACATCGGATACATGGCTTTAATTTGCAGCTTCAACAGAGTTTGATTCAGAATCAGTAACAGTGTTTTGCGTTACTGTTTGAGTGTTAGAAACTAATTTAGCAGGACCAAGTTTTGTCTTGTCTATACCTTCGGGACTAAAGGGAAACAAACCTGATCTACGAAAGCCATTTGCGGCATTTTGGAAGGTAGCTACCTTACTCCAAGCTTGCTTAAATATGCCTGGAAAGTCTTTCTTTGTGACCGCCTGGCCAATGTTTGACATTTGCCAGGTTTTCACAGCCGCTTGCCAGGCGGACTTCAAGGGTGAGAAGAGTCCTACATCGGCTGCCTGCATGAGATGTGTAGCATTTGGCAAAAGACAATACAATATAATTAGATGATCTTTACAAAATTGAGCAGCCTCTAGTGTCATGTGGGTGGAATGTCCGTCCACAAAGAGGAGTACAGGACGTGCAATATTTTTTTTAATTAAGGACTGGTCAAGGACTTTTAGAAACTCAACAAAAGTGTCCGAAGTCATCCAACCATTAGGGGTTGTCGTATAAATGGCTTCCGGGAAACCTGCTAAACCAACATCACGGAGTCTTTCCCCAGGAAAAAGAATCATTGGTGGCAGGTATTCCCCAAAGCCATTGAAGCCAGCCATAACAGTAATTTGCATTTTAGTGCTAGCTACAACATTATATACATGTTTTGCACCAGACGGAGCCAAAACTTTGCCAGGTTTTACTGACAGCGGGAAACCGCTTTCATCAGCATTGTAAAGACGGCGCGGGTCTTTTAATAATGCATCATAAGTGTCAGGAAACTCCTTTTGTAAATACATATAAACACCAGTATACCAATTATTTACTTTTTCTATTGTAACTGCCGCGCGCTCATGCCCCAGAGACATAGGCTTTCTAAATGCCATCTCAGGATGACGCCTTTGAAAGCCAACAAACCAGTCCTTACCCGGTAGATTATCACGGAAAGGTGTTTCGCGTCCGTCGAGGGTTAAAATATGCTGGACTTCATAAACAAACTCCTTCTTTGTAAGCGGGTAACCAATATCACACATCAAATTAGCGTAAGCTACAAGTACGTTTTCCTCTGCCGGCGTGAGTACAGTTTTCCGTCCAAGAGAAGTAGACTCGGGTACTCGACCAGAAAGTTTGTCCAATAGCGTTGTCTTAGGTATGCCGTAAGCCTTTGCCGCCCCTTTCCTACTCATTTGGCCACTTCTAACCATCTGTATGGCTAAAGCCATTGCCTCGGGCTTGTACTGCACCCTTTTCTTAGCACAAATCTGCGATGACATTCTTTTTCAAACATATACCTGAAAATGAGAAAAAAAAGAAAATAGAAAAAAATCTATACTTTGTCAATGCAGTATATAAATTGTATGTCAGTAATATATAATGTCACTATGTGTATATTTCAAACATGTTTAGATCTAGTCATGCAAATAAGAAATATCATCTTGCCCCAGCAAAGAATCATTTCGATTACAAGTTTTATGTTATATTTTACGATGGGGTCGATATAACTAGATTTTGAAATAATATTCTGTTTATTTCGACCCCCGCGTGATCCTCTGTAAGTAAAAGCAATAACCTTGAAATCATTTTAAATCACATTTAAAGACTATATACAGTTATCCGGAGTTAAAAATATCTAAACAAACAACATTTTACAAATATGACAAGCATGAAATAATAACTCCCTCACCTTAACGGAGCTGTTTAAAACTTGTTCGATTCTACAATGGAAAATGTCGTGAATCTTATTTACTCAGAGAACATTCAAAATGGCCGCGTAAAACGTAATCGATGACATCATCAATAATAATTGATCGACAGCAAACATAACCTTAATTGTAAACTCATTAATGAAGTTTAACGGGAGGGGGTCGATATTATACGAGGGTCGGCATTACCCACCGTTGCTCTATAACAAATCTTGATAAGCCATATTCACTATAGCCTGTTCACTGAACCCCATGATACCTGTCAATATAAAACAGTACGGAATGTATTTTATCAAGAAAAAAAGTCACCAAAATAGCACATGTGAATGATTCTTTGATACAAGGTTAGGATAGAAACAATGTTTGAGATTCTTTTGTAGCCTTGCAAAAACATGTTGAGTTATTTATGAAAGAAATTATGTATAATTATACACATAACATGCAGTTTACTCTTTGTGCTTTTATCATTCAGTGCAACACCATGCCACTGTATATAGAAATATCAATGCCGAGGTTTAATGTTAACTGATAGCTGCTTTAATTGTCCTTGAAATTATCAATGAGCATTTCCCAGTAAGACTATTCCATTACAGAAATCCATAGACTGGTTACAGTATACGAAGCTGGTTAAACATTAGTTATCTATGACACACAATTCTATGTTATAACTTATATATATTTACCTTGACATGAATAGCTTGTACAGCTGTGCTGGATACACATCTTATACTTGACTGCACTTTGTGAACATCTGAAACATCATCATTTCTCCTCTTGCATACTGATGTGTATTGATTAAATATGTTGCTAAGTAATAAAATTATACACTGTGATTCATCAAGATCGTTACCTTGAAGTAATAGTACATTCCTTTTAATTGTTTTCCTTAAAATGTTGTTTTATATTTTATGATATTGGAGTTGAGGGTTTTGAACACCTAGTATCTTATGAATATAGGAGATTTTCGTTGCAATGTACATAATATATGATTATTTGAACTAATGCACATGATGTCTTAATGAAATGTGTATAATGTTCAACCATATTCTAGTGCTAGTAGATTAATGAAGTTGAGATTACATACCTGTATTTAGCATGAAAATAAAATTTCTAAGATTTCTAACTACAATGCATATGAAGATAACAAACACATTTTCAGCCCAAAATCAATTATAGGTCTTTTCAATACTAAAAGACCTCTCAATGATTTTTGCAAACTAGAATATTTTACCTGATGTAAATGTTTTAGAAGTTTTGTGTCATTGTAATCACATGTGGTAATATTGTATTTTTAGGTGATTGTTGGTTACTGGCTGCTGTTGCCTCACTCACATGTAATTCTCATCTCCTAAACAAGATCATCATTCCAGAACAAGATTTCTCTGGAGACAACTATTGTGGAGTATTTAAATTCAACTTCTGGCATCAGGTAAATATGTTAGTTCACTAGTAATGATTAAGACAGGCCGGTGTGTCCAGTGTAGAGTCAGGTAAGCTGCCGATCTGACTGTTGGCTTTTCAGTTTAAATATTTTGATATTGATGTCCACAAATAGTTAACCTCTTTATAAGCTTAAAGTAATAGTTAACCTCTTTATAAGCTTAAAGTTGACTAACTTATTTTGATTACAAAAATGTTTATCAATGATAAAATTGGTGTTTATTTAAACAGAGTTAGGTGTTTATTTAAACAGAGTTAATGGTCATCTGTTTATTTATCTTGTCTGATTAAGAAATTTTGGAGGAAGAAATATTAGTCTCTTTGTTTTTGTGATGCCAGCCACAATGCACTAAGGCAATATAATTTTATTTCCAAAGTTCAAGATGAGGAAATAAACTGCATGTATGATAAATCATTCAGGATTGTCGGCTTTCATATTGAGTCATAAATTGCTGTTGGAATTTACCCTCAGCTGTTCTGTTGCTTTCCAGATTACCTGTAGAATCAAAATATTTCAGTGACTCAAAGTTGCTGAAAATTTCTTTTAAATTTGTCAACACCTTTCATTCCATAGATGAAAATATTATTTATGCAGTTGGTTTGTTGGTTATATTATAGGGAGATTGGATTCAGGTGGTTGTTGATGACAGACTGCCCACATACTATGGCAACTTGGTGTTTATGCACTCAACAGACAAAAATGAATTCTGGAGTGCACTTCTGGAAAAAGCTTATGCTAAGTAAGTACGAAAAAAAGAATTGACAAGTATAGGCCTAGTGTTCAATGTTCACATAGTATCTATGACTTTAATCCATCATTCCTTAAATCAAAGTAACTCCCTCTCAATTAAGGAATGATAGGTTTGCATTCCTTGAAGATATTTTAGCCACAAGGTCACCACTCCTTGCTACCTGTATTGCCGTGAAGGATGGGACAAAAGATAAACAGGAACACAGAAACATTTAATTTTTCCATTGACATTTTCATTTATCAGAGAAGACAGATATTTCACTGATGAAGGTGAACATATCACATGCCTTATATGATATGATACATGTATATACATGTTTCATTAATGAAACTGTTATCCTTGTGTATCCAATATTCCAGTGTGAATGTTAATTTCCAATTTTCTCTTAGTGTTCTAGAGCACTTGGTCAGTTAATAATGTCCAATATCTAGGCTCACTTTTCTCCTACTTCAGAAGTTAATCAGGCAATGTTACGGTCAATAGGCCTTGCAGTGAGAACAAAGATTATTTTTCTTGTAGATAAGATAGCTAGCAAACATAATTGATATATAAATCAATGATTCTAATACTTTTATAACTGAACATTCACATTCATGTCTTGTTCTATGTATATATTTTTTGATGATAGTGCTTAGGTTTCAAGGTCATTTAACTTGCAGCCTGTAACTATATAATGCTATCTCTTACAAGATATATGTTAGGCTTGCACTGGACATAATATTTAAATGTACAACAAACAGTTTATAAATGCGTGGTCTGTTTGCCGTGTCTTTACTTCATCCACTACATTGTTATACCTTTGCCAAAAACATCATTTAGATGCGGACAATGCTGGTGTATATGTGAAGATGTCTGTCTATCAACTATTGTACATTCCTGTTTCACCAGTAGTCTGGCTGTAACATTGTTGTGTGTATAGTGACATATTAACATGTCTGTTATTGTAACAGTTAGACAATCAATTCTGCCCTGCTATCTGCCCTATATTGATCTAATGTTAGCCATATAAAATGTTGAAAGCAAAAAAAACAATTTTTATTTTATTTCACCTGTGTTATGACCTTATTGTATATAAAATATTCATGCTCTAATGAGTTTTTACCTGGTCTACATCGTAAATGCTTTAAATATTGTTGTTTTTTAAATGTGATAAAAAGTACTTCAAAGGAAAAACATTTTAGAGTGTTTGATATAAAATAGTGATTACATATCATTGCATAATGCAGAATCATATTATTACATAAAGTGGCTGAGAAGTTCAACATTTTTATATGTAATTCATCATTGCCATACTGCTGTTTCTCATTGACGGTAAAATACAAACCTTTACAGTGGTGACATTACCTGTTGACATTATTATGTTATATGAATAATGTTTGAAAACAATTTTGTAAAACAAGTTGTAAAATTTTTCAGACAATTCTATACAGCAATAGAATTCTATATAGCAATCTTATTATCCTAAATGATATTTTGCATAGTTGATAAAACTGTTTTAACTGATAAATGTTGATATCAATATTTTGAGAATATAACATGTATTTATGTATGTTGGTTAGGTTGAGTGGTTCGTATGAATGTCTGAAGGGAGGCAGCACAAGTGAGGCAATGGAGGACTTCACTGGTGGTGTAACAGAGTCTGTTGACCTGCAGAAAGCCCCAACTAACCTCCTCAATATTATGATGAAGGCTCATGCACGTGGCTCTCTGATGGGCTGCTCTATTGATGTAAGTATTGACTATGATGAATTAAGATACAAGAATTAACTCAAACTAACCTGACCTTTTACAACCTGCCTATTTAAATTTGTTAGATGTATATGCAGATATTGATCTGTTTATGCACTGAATACTAATTCTTGCCCTTATATAATATTACATTTGAGCCGTGTCACGACAAAACCAACATAATGGGTTTGCGACCAGCATGGATCCAGACCAGCCTGCGCATCCGCGCAGTCTGATCAGGATCCATGCTGTTCGCTTACAAACCCTATATCAAGTAGAGAAACTGATAGCGAACAGCATGGATCCTGATCAGACTACGCGGATGCGCAGGCTGGTCTGGATCCATGCTGGTCGCAAACATATTATGTTGGTTTTGTCATGACACGGCTCATTTTAAATGATAGACAGACAGCTTAAGTCACATTTTTTCTGCAGGGTTATATATATCCTAGTATTAAATGGCATGATAATCTTAGTGTGAGAAATAATATTTCCTTTTTTGCACACCTTTGGTACTTAATTATGTTGTTAAAATATACAATGTAATGCAATAAAAGAAGTATATTTGCTTAGCATTATATTTCTTTAAAATGAATGTTACATGCCATATTTGATTGCAATCAAAGTTTAATACTTAACATAAAATATGAGTTGTTTGAGTCAACAGATTAGAAGATAATAAATTAAAGATGGTATACAGGGAACAATGTTGAATATAAAATAGTAAAGTTTTAAATTACTGAATTTCAGGCTGACCCTTCACAACTTGAGGCTATATGTGATAATGGTTTGGTGATGGGACATGCTTACTCTGTCACTAGTGTGAAACTGGTAAGTTAATAGTGTCTTATATTTATAGCATATATACACGTATATACAAGTTGCTTTAACATTGAATGATACATTCAAGACAACCATTGAAATGTATGTGAAATATAATTATCTTAACTTGCCTTTAATTGCTTTTGTGCCAAAAGTTAAACATTAAGTTTGTCTTGTGTAATTAATATCTTTGGAAGTTTTTTTGGATAAACAGTATAAATTTTCACTTAAGTTATCAAATACATTTTCAGTGAACTTGAGGAATAGATACAAATAAGGCAGAACTAAAGTTTTATTGAAATGTAGCTATTCAATTTTCAGTCTGTTAAAAGCTCCAAATGAATAAACAGTATATTACATGAATGAATATTGATGATATTAAAGTGTATACATTTTGTATTCTTTACCTTGAACTGTACAGACTGAGTTTCATTGATACAATAATTACTATGATAAATTGTTAAAGGGAGAGAATAATTGTTTAATTAGTTTAAAAAAAACTATGATAAAAAGTAAACTTATATAATAGAAATTCCACTAAGAGAGGGGTAAACATACTAATTTGTTGACTTGATGCCAGTTTTGATGTGAGCTCATTATTTACTGTAATTCATCATTAATTCTCCTGTAATTCATCATTAATTCAAGTATATCCTTACACCTGGTTTTCCTATAATGATATAACATTATAACTGTTGAATCAATTACCTGTATACAGATTAATGGAAAGTTAAGGTTTTGTTTTCAAGTTTTTACAGATACACCCCAGTTGAGAATGTATATGGTATAAAAAAAATCTTGTGCATTATTATGTAAGCAGTAATGTGTTTAAGTAAACTAAGTTACATTTGTTATAGCGTTAGAACTATGAATATAGATTAAAAATAACAACACTTTTAGTGTGGAAAACAAATATGTATCTGTTACATTGTATATATGAGCGGCGTCACGACAAAACCAACATAGTGCATTTGCGACCAGCATGGATCCAGACCAGCCTGTGCATCCCCTCAGTCTGATCAGGATCCATGCTGTTTGCTTACAAGTAGAGAAACTGATAGCGAACAGCATGGATCTTGATCAGACTGCGTGGATGCGCAGGCTGGTCTGGATCCATGCTGGTCGCAAACGCACTATGTTGGTTTTGTCGTGGCATGGCTCTTATGTATTATCTCTAACATAATGATAAATTCAGGTGGAGATTCAAACCCCGAAAGTGAGTGGTAAGATCCCACTGGTACGAGTGAGGAACCCCTGGGGTAATGAGAGTGAATGGAACGGGGCATGGAGTGATAAGTAAGTATATATTTAAAATCTGAAATATGAAGGAATTTACCAAGAATTATATTAAAGAATAAGATATTTTATTATAAGTTATTTACAGTTATATGACCCTGAATTTTCATTTATATGGCTATGAATTTTCAGTGATATAACAAAAACATAATGTGAAAATTCCAAAACAACACAAACATAGCTAGTTTCAACTTTTATGACTTCTTTAGTAAGATACTATATAGCCCGTTAGACATTTATTTTCAGCTATATAGCCATTACCTGTACAGCAACATTAACTGGAAATAAACTTTTACTGAAAAATATGTAACATGAACAATATAGAAAGTTAACAATCTTAATAACATTGATAAATATATCATTTTTAGAAAAAGAATGAAAGTCAAAGAAAAAATCTTCTGGCTTTTTGTATGGTCACAAATATTAAATTTAACATCAGTACAGTATAATTACAGTTATTTTACCTAATCTTATGGTATGGTAAGTTTGTTTGCAAATTTATGCAAGTGATTTGTTTATGATGTATATGATTCTATAGTTGAATAAATATGAAATGTGAAGCATTGAACTTTAGATAAAACTAGGTCTTACCAAAGTACTAAGAATTATAGATTACAATAGAAGAAGAATAAGTGTTTGTTTTTTTGTAATGAAAGGTATCCCATTTAGCAAATACTTGAGTGTTTTTGTCAGTAACATCTGAAAGCAATGGCTGTAAATGTTATTAAAGAGATAATCAATGGAGATTACTTCACAGTAAAGTAAATGCATGAATGTTTCAACAAAACATAATGAGAAAATACAGGTAGATAACAAAATGCTTCATCAACATTTTATTCTTCTATCTAGTGTGGTGTAATATCTTAGACAAATATTCAGCAGAAAGTCACTCAGTCCCTGTAGAAACATTTGAACAAGATGTGAATGATGAAATTGTCAATTTGTAGAACAGTACATATGATGTGATTCAATAATGAAAGAGAATTAAAGATTGTTTATATTTTAGGTCAGCTGAGTGGACGTACATACCAGATGATGAGAAACGTAGTCTTGGTCTTACCTTTGATGATGATGGAGAATTCTGGTAACTTGTTTTTTTTTTAATTATACATTTACATGGGTCCTTTACTATTCTGTGAGGATTTATGAGGGCTTTTTCATGAACAATGATTCTTTATTTAGCTGGAGATTCAACAAAATTTAAAAAAATTAGCAGCAAGATTTGGTTAGTTAAGAAAGACTCAATCAAGTTTAGATTTTCTATTTTAGTCCAAGGCATGTAATATGATTTTCACTGTTGACAACTTATGAGATGTCATTTTCATTTAGTCTGAAAGAATTTTGCTGAAAGTTTTCATAGAAAAATATGTTAGTATTGTATAAAACCCAGAAACTCTTGCTGGATATTTTCCCGTCTGAAATATATCTTTTAATAATTTGAGACAGCAACATGCACAAATTGATGATGAATAAAAGGGACATTTTACAGGCTTGATATCCTGATTTTAAATTGAAATTTATACATAGAAATCAAAACGTATGTGGAGACATTTTTATCCACTCAGTGTTGTTAATTGGTCACTATATTGTAATTCTTATATTTCATAAATAAGAATAGAAATGTTAAGATAGGGCTATTGTGTATCTTGTGATTTCCAAATGACTCTTGTTTTATTTTTGTGTTTGACAGGATGTCATTCCAGGACTGGCAGAATAACTTCCAGAAACTTGAAATCTGTAACTTGGGCCCAGACTCCCTGGATGAGGAAGAAATGTCACAGGGAAAGATCCGCTGGGAGGCTACTGCTGAACGTGGAGAATGGATACCAAGAGTGAATGCTGGTGGATGTAGAAACTATCTGGGTATACTATGTTATGTTAAGGTTTATAGAGGAATGAATGTTGTATGATAGTTATCTCTCATGTTTAATGCAGACATTATAATACAATGTCATGTAGTCTGACTTTAAATCACCTTTGAAAATGTTTATATTTTATGAAAATATATTATTATTATCAATATTATTTAAAAAAAAAACACAAAAAAACATTTGCAATAGAGTACATGGAGGAAAAAAACATAAATGCTCCTCTGTTAGTCGTTGATTTGATAATAAATATTTTTTCATAAGGTAGTTGAAAATTTATTGTTTAATGTTTATCAAATATGGCTATTCCTAATAGACTTAAGTTTTGAGAGATGTTCTTTTATTATTTTTCTCATGAAAAGATGTAATAAAACCATGTCTGCAAACATTTTTACTTTCTATTTTTGTCAGGATTTGTTTTCAGACTTTAGACTACAACATTGTTTATATTACTATGATTTCTATTATAGAGACATTTGCTACAAATCCCCAGTACCGAGTTGTACTCACTGACCCTGATGATGATGAAGATGACCTTTGTACAATGTTAGTTGGTCTCCTACAGAAAGACAGACGTAAGAAACGTAAGGAAGGACTGGACATGTTGACCATTGGTTATGTCATCTATAAGGTTTGAATGGTTATACATTAGAGATGTTAACATTTTCCAATTATGATATTAATAATAAAACGATCCAGGTCATATGGGACTTTTAGCTCAAATCAATAAAAAAAAATAATGGAAAGCTGTCGTACACACCAAGGTGTCATTGTCACCTATATTGTATGCAGACATTGTCAAGGTTGTGGAATAAGATCACTGAATAATGTTAAACAATGCTAAGAAATAATTTCCATTTTTCTCTCAAAATCTCAAAACTAGAGTATTGTTAATCTTTTATGATAAGATTTGACCTTTCAGATATATGAAATCAGCTTACAGTTTATTGATTGAAATATTTTTAATTGTATTTACAGTGATTTAATAAAAGGCTTACTGTTTACGTAACAGTCATATTAGATAAATTATAAGATACACGTATGTATAATTTCTTAAAAGCCGTTGCCATAGATTTTTAAGTTTTTATGCTGATAGATATCTTGCTTGCTTGCTTACGGATGACCAGTGGGTCTACACAAGTTTTACTTAGAACATTTATCAGTGCATGTTTAAACCTTAATGTCTTATAAGAGAATGTTTTAATTGTGGTATATGAGTAAATTATAGATAGTACACTTGTATTTAGATGAAGGAAGATGGATCTTTTGGATCTGGACCACTAGATTGTCGTTTTTTCAAGTACAATGCTAGTGTAGCTAAATCACCCTCGTTTATTAACATGCGTGAAATATGTGGCCGTCATAAACTGTCTCCCGGAACCTATGTCATCATCCCATCAACCTTTGAACCAAACCAACAGGGAGAGTTCCTTCTCCGAATCTTCACAGAAAAGGCAGGAACTTCAGAGTAAGTTATTAAATAGTCACTGTAAAAACTATTTTATCATGTGTCTAAACGTTACTACATCTTTTCTTACAATCTAAAACTATTTCTGTCTACATTACTCTATTTATCATTTACTGATTTTATGAGTTAATTGTAGTTAATTACATTGATGCCATTATCTCTTACTTGATATTCACTCTGGCGTGGGTTTGATCCCTGGGAGATGCTTTGGTAGTTTAGCGCGGAGGAAGGTAGTCTAGTACTGGTGTAACTCTCCAGGAACGATGGTTAGGAAACTTCCCGCCTATATGACTGAAATACTGTTGGAAAAAGGCGTAAAATATAACAAACAAACAAACAAACTTGATATTCATTGAAGTATTTAAAACTTGAAAAATACAGTTCACAGTACAGTTTGATGGCTGTAATGCTAATAGTATAAATTCTTGTTCTGATAAATTGACATTAAATGTTACTATGTTTATTTCACAAAGAGGATCCGAGGCATTACCTGTAGGAAGACCAATGTAGGTTGTTCTGTTAATACCAATACTTACCTGGTATTTGATACAAGAGGCATGTTTGTTTCCTAACTGAAAATATTAAATAGAAATATTAACTTTACTTTGCTCCACATACTGAATCTTTTATAATTGTCCAAATAATTGTCCTGTCATATGTTATCCATTTATATGTCAAAAAATTAAACAACTCATTTTGGCTACTTATGTGCTTCCCTCTGACTGAGATTTATAGGTATTGATTGAAGCCTCTGTAACTGCACTTAATACTGTAAACAAATAATCAAGGGAATTAACTCTGGATGCTAGTTGAAATATTGACTTGTTTATTCCACTCAGATAAAACCATGATGGCCTGCATATTTGTGCTGCCTGGCAAATCTATACTGTCTGTTATAGGGCAATGTGCATATTTGTTCCACATGACAAGTCTATCCTATCTGTTAAAGGGCAGCCTGCATTATTGTGTCACATGATGATGCTGTATACTGTTGGCTTCATGGCCTACAGACCAGACTATGCTTTCAGTTTCTTGTCTACCCACATATTTATGCCACAGTCTGTATACTTGTATCGTATGGCCAGACTCTTTACCCTATGCTGTGGGGCAGCTTGCACATTTGTGTCACTTTACCAGACCATACTGTCTGCTGCATAATTTTAGTATTTTAATAATGTATCAAAAATGGAGTTGGATTGTTTGAATCTTGAATTTTTTGTCTCAAATTTATTCCATCTGCTGTCATTATTGAGGTCACTGACTATATATCACTTGCAAGTTCATAAGTTTACTAGGGGGAAACAAGTTTAGTGTGATAAAGGTAAAGAATGAATGTTTTTGTCCTGTTCTTGCTGACCATTTGTACAATAATCCATTTCTGATTTGTCCACTACTTCACTTTTTTTCCATGTACATCCTCTTTTCCACCTTTGTTTTCTTCATTTAAATCTCATCCCCTTTAGTGTTTTACAACATCTATGCAGAGTGTGATTTATTTAATTGAACTTTTTAACATTATGGTATGGACTGTTTTACTTAGTGTTTATAAAATCTGTTCAAGCTTTTGCTTCTTTTACTCCTTTTGCTTCATTATCTTTTCAAATAAACATCTTTCACATACTTTGCTTTTTTTCTATTTCTTTCATATTACATAAAATAATTCATGTACATGTATGAATGGATTAACATAGTTGCAGTTATTTGATATTTTAGTCAACATGTGTGCAAAGAATGTTTTGCTTATTAATGTTTTATAACTAAGCAGCTTTACCTATCAGGTAGATGGTCTGTTTTCCATACCATGGGACAGTGTTTTCCAACCTTGTGCTTGCTACATGAACCACACTATATGAAAATATTATGATTTATTCTTCTTATTTTTCAGAGAAATGGATGAAGGAACATCACTGGTTGATAACCAGGTAAGTCATTTATGTTGTATTATTTCTGGTCATATTTTAGAATATAGTGAGATTATAATGTAGTTAGGTGGAATAATAGATATTCTAATGATGTTATTAACAATTGATGGAGTTTTAGGTCATTTGTTTATACTCATTACATCATTGTAAATCTCTACATATGACATGTTAATAGGTTAGAATACGGTCTTATTATTATTATAAAGACCAAAACTGGAGTGGTATATCTGTTTTAAGGAAAATAATTATTGCAATAACAAACTTTTCGGAAAATCAAATTTGTTGATTGTAAGGTGAAAACAGTTAGAGAACTCATTTGATCTTTAATGTAATTGACCATTTGTTATTCATATAGTGGTTTTTTACATATATATGATTTTATTTGTTTAGTTGTCTACTGTTTTTGCATTTGGGTATGAATTTAATAGGAAGAAATTTTAAGAGCTTGCATGTTGCCGATACAGTGGAACTCACTAATAGCGAACTTGGATACAGCATACACTCAGTTATAATATATGTATATGTCGTAAAATGGCAAAAGTGGAAGTAGCATGTGACTTCAAAAATGTCTAGTAACAAGTATATGGCAAACTTAATGTCATGGTCTGAACAAGTTCCTTATAACTGAGTTTCACTGAACACTGCTTTATAAAGATTTAAATTTTATTAAGATTTAAAAGAGAAAAACTTTAAAAGTTCTTAAGGGTTCTGTAAAGATCATCTTCAACCTTTGATGTGTTTTGCTTGAATGTATATTGAGTTAGCATAGCATTGTATGTGCTTTTAAGATTACTTTAAAAGGTGATATACTGTGTGATAATTTCTATTTTTACCCAGCATAGACAGTATGATGAACAATATGGCAGCAGTGCACCTGGACAACATGACTCTTACACAGGGAGTGATCCACCCCCTCTTGGATTTGATCTTATGACTAAATCTGATATAAATCATGATAATCCTTTGCCAGATTTTTCGATATTCAATCAGTATCCCTCAGGTCCTTATGGTGGACCTCCAACATCACAAGGTTATCAGCCTGATCCTTACAATCCTGGTCAGCCATATGCTCCACCAGGTACATACAATCAGGGGTACCAGCCAATGCCTGGTGGCCAGTATGACCAATATGCAAGTTCTGCTGGTTACCAGCCTCCACCTCCACAGCCTAATCAGTATAATCCCCACCCTGCTTATAATGTAGGGTACCAGCCAAATCCATATGGTCAACCAAGTGATCCATATAATACCAATCCTTATCAACAACCATCTCAACAGTTAGGATTTGGTGCTCCACCAGGTCAGTACCAAGCTACCCCAGGTTACAACCCAGCTGGCCAGCCATATAGTCAGCCAAATCAGCCCTATGGTTGGCAGGGTGGGAACCCTAGTCAGTACAATCAGCCCCCATCTGGTCACTACTATCCATATGGTCAGGGTGAGGCTATGGAGCATGCCCGGCACTCTTCCATGTTATCAGCAGAACCTGTAAGTACTTGACCTGTTGCCAGAGTAACCATACAGGTCATGTGATTGCCAGCTGAACTTGTGCTGCTGTGATTTACTGTGATTTTAGTGTTTGGCATAATTTTACATGTAATTTGATGTGTTTCAAGACATACCAGAATTATTATGTGTTTTTTTAGCTCACCTGTCACAAAGTGACAGGGTGAGCTGTTGTGATCGCTTTTCGTCCGGCGTCCGGCGTCCGTCCGTAAACTTTTACTTTAAATGACATCTCCTCATTAACCACTGAGCCAATTTCATTCAAACTTCACAGGAATGTTCCTTTGGTGGTCACCTTTAAAAATTGTTCAAAGAATTTAATTCCATGCAGAACTCTGGTTGCCATGGCAACCGAAAGAAAAAACTTTAAATATCTTATTTTAAAAAACCGAAAGAGCTAGAGCTTAGATATTTGACATCTTCTAGTGAGTGTCTACCAAGTTTGTTCAAATAAAAGCCCTGGGGTCAAAATTGGCCCCGCCCCAGGGGGTCATTGATTTTCCCTATATGCATATAGTAAAAACTTAAAAAAACTTTTTATAAAGAACCCAAAGAGCTAGAGCTAAGATATTTAGCATGAAACATCTTCTAATGAGTGTCTACCAAGTTTGTTCAAATAAAAGCCCTGGCGTCAAAATTGGCCCCGCCCCAGGGGGTCATTGATTTTCCCTATATGCATATAGTAAAAACTTAAAAAATCTTCTTTTAAAGAACTCAAAGAGCTAGAGCTAAGATATTTAGCATGAAACATGTTCTAATGGGTGTCTACCAAGATTGTTCAAATAAAAGCCCTGGGGTCAAAATTGGCCCCGCCCCGGGGGTCATTGATTTTCCTTATATGTGTATAGCAAAAACTTAAAAATCTTCTTTGAAAAAACCCAAATAGCTAGAGTTTAGATATTAAGCATGAAACATCTTCTGGTAAGTGTCTACAAAGTTTGTTCAAATAAAATCCCTGGGGTCAAAACTGGCCATGCCCCAGGGGTGTCATTGTTTTTAACTATATGTGTATAGTAAAAACTTAAAAAATCTTCTTTTAAAAAACCCAATGAGCTAGAGCTTAGATGTTTAGCATGAAACATCTTCTTATGGGTGTCTACCAAGTTTGTTCAAATAAAAGCCCTTGGGTAAAAATTGGCCCTGCCGGGGGAGGGGGTGGGGGAGGGCAGAGGTCATTGTTTTTCATTATATGTGTGTAGTAAAAACTTAACATCAAGAAACATCTTCTAATGGGTGTCTTAAGTTTGTTCAAATAAAAGCCCTGGGGTTTAAACTGGCCCTGCTCCAGGGGCCTATATACAGGTGAGCGACCTCAGGGCCATCATGGCCCTCTTGTTTAGATGATAAACAGAAATGTTAAAATTATCAACACTATCGTTTATTTTAAAAGGTAGAGAGACTTACTTGTCTTGAAGCACTGATAACTTAATGTTGACCTAAAAAAATGTGGTGCTTTACGCCTACATGAAAGATTTTTAATACTTGATATTTCTGCATTCTGATTTTGAAAACTGTTCTCACATGTATTTGATAGTTCACATTTTCCATTTAAACTTTTTATGTTTAAGTTGTTTTTATTTTAGACACTATATCCCATCAAAAAGTCAAGCTTAAATTTTACCTTTGTCTTTCCTTGTGTTTTAACTTATCAGAATTTTGTTTGAGTTTTGCTTCACTCTCACACCTTGGCATGATCATCTTTTCTCTACTGTTTGAGATCTTTACAGACTTGCACACTTTCACTCTTAGACTGTTTTTTTTTTTGCAAAGTTAGATAAGACCTGTTTTGGTTTATCTTTGGAAATCAAAGTAATAATGGTTCAGTATTTATCATTTGTATTTATAAGATTTCTATACAGTGTATGAAGTATGGGTAACAATCAGATATTATTACTTTGGTGTCTCAAAAGATTGTGATTATTTGTGTAATGTTGCTGTGTAAAGGGAACCAACTCATTAATGTGTATAATGAAAATTGGTTATATTACTCTTGATCACACACAAAATATTGTATGTTATGTATTTATATGATAAGAAAAGGTAAATAAAACAGGAACATTGTTGTATTTACAAGGGTTATATGCAGCATATTATATTGAATGTTTTTTTTAGCTGTTACTGTTTGTTCTATATTGCTACAGAATCTGTTAATGAGATATAAACAATTTGGCAATGATCATGTTCATGTGATGTACATGTATATGTTTTAATTGCATGAGATAAGTCTATTGTACATTTATAATTGCTGTGAGTATATATGACATGTTTTATGTATTTTTCCTACGAGATTGATTCTGAGATCAAGGCATGTGTGGCAGCTGGTCCACTGTATCAAGTAAAGGTTAGATTTAGGTTGTGAAGAGACACCCCAACCTTGCTTGCAGAATATTCTTACATGTTAACTAAGATATTATTACTATTTTACTTTAGGTTTATATAACTTCGTAAATATGGGCATATGCAGATAATATTATTGATAAAAATTCAAATGGGTTTTTGATCTACAATTTAGGAGAAATAGTTTTATTTATGGTTTGACTGCTTTGGCGGATACTGTTAATCATTAGCTTAACATGAATTTTCATAAGTTTTCAACATTAAAACAATAGAGGCCGGAGTGATACCAGATGATCTGTTGAAGGTGGGGGTAGGGGACCGTTTTGATAGACTCGTACTCCTAGGCTGCTCTTAGAAGCAGACACTATAGGTTAGAAAATAGATAAATAAACAAAATGAAATACATATTTATGTCTATAAAAAGTTATAAGATATATCATGATATACGTACATGTAGAATGTTCTGCATTTGATATTTATTTGAGATGGAGTTGTCTGTTTTTACTGATGCTTATTTGTCTTTAAACTAATCACAATTTTAGAAGTGTTTTATTTCAGATTTACAGATGATGCTTTCCTGGTTTTACATAAAAGATAAATTAAAATCTTTGTTTTAATAATTGAGCCACGCCATGACAAAACCAATGTAATGCGTAATGTGACTAGCATGGATCCAGACCAGCCTACGCATCCATGTAGTCTGATCAGGATCCATGCTGTTTGCTTACAAATCCTATAAACAAGTAGAGAAACTGATAGCGAACAGCATGGATCCTGATCAGACTGGGCAGAGGCGCAGGCTGGTCTGGATCCATGCTGGTCGCAAACGCATTATGTTGGTTTTGTCATGGCGCGGCCCATATGTATTGGTTAATCAAGCAATATGTATATAGATTAGTTAAATTTAGTTGTACTTATTATGGACAAAATGGCTAGTATTTTGAATTAAGTCTGGACGTTATCTAATGAATTTAATGGTATGGTTCTGTGGGAAATAACAATGTTTAGATGTACATTAATTGTATCAAATCTCCAATTTTCACAATTTTTTATCTAATATTTATAATATTAAAAGAAAAACCCTTATTGCCAAAATTAAACAGAATTTCCTTTCGCATTTTTTTGCTGTGCCTCAGATAGATCTAAAAACATTGGTGCTTTAAAAGACCCCATTATGTTTTTGTTTTATTTTTATGATGAAAGAATTTGCATGTTTTGATTTTATTTACTGCTTATTTTGCTTTGCTGTTGAAAAATACCAACATAAGGTTGTGTTGGTCCCAATCAAAATTTAATTGTCATATTTTTCAATTTCATTTATTTTATACATGTATACCAAATTCTTTAGTAGATTTATATTTATTTTTCAAGAGACAAGATTTCATTTTCTTTTTAAGTTCATAATTATAATCATCTTTAAGTATTACATTTTATTTCATTTATATTTTGATTTGTTTATATAGTGGTTATGTTATGTGTTTTATGATTTTGCTATTTTAGGGGCAACCTACTGCACCAAAGAGAGTAAGTTAAGAGTGACACTGACTGAAATATTTTGAATAATTTCTATTGACATCTCGTGTCTTTTCTTAACTGTTGAAAACTGCCAAATTAATGAACAATACATATCCTTCCCTATAAAAGTTCAAAAATGAAATTGAAACCAAAAGCGAGGTAAAACATGCACATTTAATGCCCTTTATTGGCATATATATTAGAAATCCTAAAGTATGCTACTACCCTACAGCAATTTCAATTTTGTTCCATCAACAACCATTTCACACAGAAAGGTTTTACTTTATACCAGTTTCTTTATCTTTATAAGTTCCCAACTCTGGCTTTTTTTACCAAGTTATGTTGCCATGTTTCCTCTGTAAATATTGTGTTTGATGTTTTGATACTACCAAAGGTACCTTTGAATAACTAAAACATTCCAGTTGTTTCAGAAACTTTATGAAAACAATAAATTTCACACATTCACTGTGTTTTTAAACCATGTCTAACCTTGTGGTTGAGCACCTTTGCTGTATGTATTAAGTATTTCAAAAATGGTACAAGTATAAGCTTCCTTACTGGATACATTTATGCGATAGGTCTCAATTCTCAATGACCTATACAGCATTTATGTGTGCAGCATTGAAGCAAAACTATAAAGTTAGTCTCTGTACTGTATTCTATAACTGAACACTATGAGTAATATCATTGTTACCATAGATACTTAATTTAACCATGTAGCCCACGACTGAATCTACCCTAGCTTCCAGTATAGACCAAGATCATCTCTGCTGTCTGATCATGGTCTACTTTGTTCTCTTTTTCGGTCAGTACATTAAATTTGAAATTTTCTCAAAAAAAATTAAGGGTTTTGTTTAGATTGAAAGGTAGACAAGTCTATTTAAGTAATAGTTAGTGTGGTAATTGTTAATCAAATGCTATAATAATGTGTTAGAAAATGCAGAGCAATTTTGGATTTAAAGATTTTGAAAAATAAAGGGGAAAGAAAAATATTTTAAATGCAGTTCAGGAAAGACACTTCCAAGTTACATCAATTTTTTTAAAGGAATGTATTTCACATTTTTACCTCCTCAATAAAATCTTTATCTCTGTATCTCTGCTGTGATTTTAATCTACATGTTTCTCATATCTTGATTTAGCTTCAAAGCCTTGTGCTTAATTGTACACAAAGATAACTCAGTTCTTAACTTTGTTAAGCTCCTGTATGAATTGCCTCCCTTTTGCAAAATGATACTGCTATTGCTAAAATACAACTCAGTTCTGTCTTGTCTCCCTTTTGCAGAATAATGCTACCGGTATTTTAAATTGTGACAGTTTGAGAAGTGTCCCAGTTTTTACTAAACATTTGTTCTTCAATTGGAATTTGTTCTTAGAAAGTCAGGCTGAATTGTTGTAGAGCTTGAGTGGTTAGATAATAAAACTTGGTCTAATATTACCATGGTTAATTAAGATTTGATTTACCTGTCTGAAAAACGTTTTACCCCTCCTATCTTTATGTTTAAATTTACATAATGTAGAGATTAACACATGTACACCACCATTGGTTATAAGCTATCCCTGTTAGATGCTTTTCAATATTACTTTTATGATGTTTATTAGACACATAGAAAAATGTATTTGGTTTTTGTATATAAAACCTACTATATAAATGTTAAAATTGTTAGTTATAGTGTTGATTGAATACTGGTTTTACTGTTCAGTTTGGTATGCATTTATCATTTGAATAATGAAATGATTTGGTCACCCTGAACTTGAACCTGTAACTCATACATAAGGTACTATATAAAGTAATATAATAACAATTTGATCTTAATATTCTCCCTAAAGACCCACAAAACCAAGGATATGGTAATGTTTCCTCGTCTTCTTTTGTCTTGTTATCTCTCTCTATCTAAACAGAAACATGATCTATGTTGTTCTTATATTTGATATTGCATTTTGTTGGAAACTTTGTAATTATTGGTCATTTTATATAAAGTATATTTGGATAGTGGTTTGTGAACTTATTGGACGTTTTGATAACACAAGTACTGTAATTTTAATATTGTATGCCCTGTTATTATAGCATGTATATATGTACATACTTTATATCAATTTATGCATCTATTTCAAATGCAATGAAATATTTTATATACATATTTGACATACTTATCTATATTACTGTATTAAAATGATTGATGTTTATATTTTTAATTCAGGCATGAATTTACCAGTGTGATCCTGTTGTTGAAGTTAAATAAACATAAAATGTCAATTTGTTTACAGATGTTTGTGCATGTCATTGAAGAAGTCCAGACCAAAGCTACAACAACTTAGCATGTATTACATTGTTTGATTCTAGATACTTGTTTGAACAGTTGTTTCTTTTCTTATTGTTTTGGTTGCACCTGTGTTGAATGCAGTTTTTAGAACATCAGTACAATATAAGGTTTTATGAGTGAAAGTAAAAATATAGCAATAAACAAGTTTTTTCCTGGTGTGATAGATGATATGAAATGTTTTAATAAAATTTTATATTGACTTTTCTGTTACCATGGTGTTGTAGAGTGAACTAACTGAAGTCAGGAAGTTTTAAGTATTGTTTGTTAATCCATGTTGAAACTTTATGAAAATAGTTTATCACAAAATTAATCTGTTGATATTGACACAAATCATTATTATAAACTAATTAAGATCTTGTTTTCTGATAACTTTAAGACTCAAAAGAAATCTATGATAAGATTAATGTCTTGAAATATATATATTTGTTAAGAAGTGAGTGAGAGAAAAATTTGAAAAGAGTGTTTTTATCCTGGTCATGCATTGTTTCTATGTGAAAAGACATTGATTATATTCTTTCAAGATAAAGTATCATTTGATACAAATATTTCATTGCTAGTTGTATGTTTCAACAGAACCACAAATTTCAATTGAAATAATTACAAATATGTTTTCCTCTAATAAAAAGAAGCATTGGTTGCTATGGTAACTACAGTTAGGGTGACTGTTTAACTCTGAAAAGACCTCATACCACTTATATCAGTGTTAATTGTCCTCTGTCTCCGTATTATCATTTATCATTATAGTGCCTGATAACCAGTTATATAGCCTTCTACCAATTCTCATTCTCTGTAATATCCAACTTTATTGTAGTCTGACTAGATAGTGCCTATAATTATGTTTTATCCATTTGTTAAATGCCTTCTTCCAAGTTATCATTATTTAAGTATTAAGCTATAAATCCTGATCCATATATTTACCCAACTGTGCTATAGTCCCTAATTATTAACTTGTCTTTGATATAACATAGATGCCATCAAATAATCACTATTACACACTATCTTGTCACTAGAGTGCTTGACTTTCTCTGTATCATAACCATTGTAGTGTCTTACTGGATCTGCCATCTTTAACATAGTGTCTACATTTATAATATTAGATCACTCTGTACTAACATCATGTTTGTATCACTAATTTTGTGTGTGTTTTCTAACCATTCCCTGTTTTAATTCTTGGCATATTTAATCCCCTATATGTAATGCAAAGTCCTTTCCTTTATCGTGGCTACAAAGATGGGAATAAAAAAAGTATAATCCAATACCTTCAGTTCAGCTGGCAAACACATCCCTTTTCTTTTTTTCTCATGTCAAAATGTTCTTGAAAAGGTGTATACTTTCATGTTTATAATTAAATGGGTTTCTTGAAGTTATGTTCCATTTTATGACATCAACTTGTCTAAGAATTCATAACAAATTTGATGATGTTTTCAAACATTTTGAAACAGTATTTTAAAAAAAAGATCATTTTTGACTATGCCTGTGATTACTATATTATAGGTTATTTGGTGTAAAAGATTAAATGATTTATATGATAAGAGTATTTGTTCAAATGATTTAAATATAAGTTTTAAAATGTGCTGTATTGCTATTTTTAAAGAATTTCAAATTTTCTCTTAAAAATATTGTAAGAATTAGTGATAATTGAAAGTTAATTTTCCTTTGAAGTGTTGTAGACGTATTATGTTTTTGTTTTTTATCTTTGCATGTTTTTATCTAGGGTACATCTAGTCACAGCGGTATGAGGTCTGCCCATCGTTCACCCAGCCCTGTCATACATACATATGAACAGGCCATCGAATTTCTCACTAAACAATGGAATCAAGTAAACTTGTAGTGTTTGAATTTGTAAAATAATAGACTTTCTTATTCTTCTGTCATTCTTTCTTTCTTACAAGAAGGTCTTTCATACAGATTTGTAAGAGCTATGATTAGATTTAATTCTAGTTATTTAAAGAATTGCTTTTTATCATTGTAAAGAATGTAGACCCATGTCTAAATGAAACTCAGTTAGGAAATGTCACTTGGTAGGAGTAATGGTCCCTGTTTATCTCCTACTTTAAATTACTACTTTTGTGAGGATGGCATGGAGGGGTTGGTAGGGGGGGGGAGATTATTGTTATAGTTGCTATGGTATATTACAGAGTATCATCTCTGATAAGTCAAACAGTGAAATTGGTAATCTTAATGATGATAAACATGTTTCTGTAACCATGTTACACACTCCATATAGTTATGAAAAAATAGGATTAATAGAGTATCTTTGACTTTACTCTGTAAAGAAGTAGAAAAACATCTGAAAACATACTCTCAGTTTCCTTCCTCCAATGCTAAATGCTTTGATTTATGCTTGAATTGAATGTGTGTATTAAGACCTTGAAAATATCTAAAATATGAATGCTTACAGAAATGCTGCATTTGCTAGAGGTATCGCATACAGAGGGCTATTTATTTGCTATTTTGGTTGCCAGATGTATTAAAAGATTAGAGGAAAACATATGCATGTTGATATTATCATAAACTATAACTGTAAATTTCAGAACTATCTTTAAATAAGCCATCAATTATCTAAATTGATCTGTTTTAAAGTTTTATGTAAAAAAAATAATGAAATTATTTAGGGCTTTATACATAATTATATTCTTTCTTAACTTAGTGTTAAATAGCAAATACAGTTATTTTAAAAGAATTTATTAAAATTGTACTTTGTTATTAAGATATGCTAGAGCTGCTAAAGATTTTTTTTGTATTCACTGTGAATGCAATAAAAATATGTATGGAAGTTGAAGAATGAAAGAGTGTTTGTCTTAAGTTTCTGACTGATTTTGTTGTTAAGCTAGAATTGTTACTAACAAAATTTGACATTGATGTGCTAGTATGTGGATTTACTGGCTTTTAACAGAAAAATGCTTCTGATTGCTTTGTTTCATTTTTTACCTATACACAGAAATACATGTTTTGTCAATGATATCTCCATATGCATCCATGGTGAATTTAGTGTACGAACTATCTCAATATCAAACATGAAAATATAGATATTTATTTGTATATTACATTATGTTTTATCATCTAGATATTATCTTATTTATAGAAATATATATATTTATCTATATCTTGTACTTTAATAATGCATTGTGTTATTTGTTTAAATATTGGCATGATAGGGTACAGTATTTAATATGTATTATATTATATCCACTAAGAGCTATAATGTTTGTAAAAGTTCTGAATGTAATGTTTGCTTTTTGAACAGCATTATAATTATGATTATGTATAGCAGATGAAGTTGACACATTTTTATTTCCATTGTAGATTTAATTGAATTATGATTTTATGGCACATGATTTTGGATAGATAATGTATCATTTCAACTATTTATGCTTTAAATGTATGCATAACCCTATTTTTAAATGCGCAAGATTTTGTATAATAGTACTTAAAACTATATTGATATTTTCATGAAGCAGGACCTCATTTTTGTTGTATATTTTATGACTTTAGGAAGCCCCTCCAATGACAGAGGAAGACCAGGCACAGGGTCAGGAACTGAGGGAGAGTTTTAAACGTATTGCTGGATCAGATCTAGAAGTTGATGCTTACGAACTAAGGGACATTCTGAACTCAGTCTTTACTAAAGGTACTCAGTTGTTCCAAATACATTCTTAAATTCTAAATTTGATATAATAGGCAGGCAACTGTTTGAAATATTCAGTCATGTAGTACTTAATACATTGTCCAAGTTATAAAGACTTGCTTCATGAATTTTTATTAGAAATATTTGTCTTGCATTGTTTTTGAAAAAAAAAATGTAAAACAAAGATAATGATATCCATTGATGTTTTCAATTTTACAGTAAAACTAAGATACAAATTTTAACAAAAAGTAAAGTTGCATAATGATATAAAATTTAAAGATAATTGATTATTTTCTTACAGTGAGGAACATGATTTTTCACTTAAGTGTTCTTATTGAATATTGATAAATATTAACATATACATGTTTGACTTGTAAATGAACAGGCGATGCTTCAAGTAAGTTTTGAGAAAGACCAACATTAATATAGTGTTGTAGACGATTATATTTTGATTGAAAATATTATTTATAATTATGCCTGATTGCAGAAACATTAATTTTAAGTAAAAATTGCAGCATTTTGACTTATATTAAGTTTTTATTTTCACATGTAATATTGTAGATATTTCCTTTTTTCTCGAAAATCTATCATTTTGCATTTTTTGTTTCATAAAGCTCTTAACAATATGATATAAAAAATAAACTTAGCTTATTTATAAAACATAATTATTATGGGCATGCCTTTAAAAACAGGTTTGTTATTTTTTGTCAGAGTTCATTTCCTTGCATATATTGTGCATTCTTTTTGCATATTTGCCTGAATCTGTTGAATGCATTAAACATTTTCCTGATATCAAGAAATTGATATATTTTTCTCTGTCTTGCTCGGGTTATGGTCTCTTCCTTTGCATTCATCGTGGTTTACAAGACTGATGATGTTATGATTCTGTCATAGAGCCCAAGTTAATGCACACAGAGACTGTTTACAATAAAGTTTTATAATACTGTATGAATGAGCACACTGGCCAAGCTGTGTAAAAAATCAACAACCAAGTTATTAACTTATGCCATATTATATTGATAATGGTGATGCTTTCAATTTTGGAAATTTATAAAAGATATTCGATATTATTCTAGAAAACATTTAACTATATTAAAGAGTATCTTGATTTTTAAACTTGTTTTGACTAGAGTAGCTTTAAATAAATGCAATGAGTGTGATGCGATCTAGTAAAATTCTTGAGAAACAAATACAAGTACTAGAACAAAATATCCTTGCATGGACCTTTTTTACCTTCTCATATGTAACTTTAACCTTCCACCTTAAAATAATACAATTCTGTCTGGAAGTATTTGTACACATGTGATATGTGCACCAGAGATAGTAAAATATCTATCAGAATCTTATAAAAAGGTGAACACATAATTTTGTCATTATGTTTTAAATTATAAGAAACTAAATTAATGATATATAACTGACTTACCATAGGAGGTCCGCACCAAATGGGTAAGGCATGAGTAGGAAGTGAGGTCAAATTGTAATGATAAAAATATCTCTGTTATAAATTGACTTTGATCAAATAATCAATCAACATAAAACATTTTTGGACACTCATTCTAGAAAAGAGAAAATGTTACAATCATTATTATTATGGTTGTTAGAAAAGTTGTATTTAATGGTTTTTGAAATTATGTTACATTATAAAACAAGAATTGATTCATAATTTTATCAAAGTCAGTATGTATGATGAATATTAATCAAGTACTCCTGTAGCATGGTGTTATATACATATATGAGAATATGTTCTGATGAATGACTTGTTGTGTTTTTCTTCCTAGATTCATCAGGTATGTGGTAATGATTAGTCGGAGTGAATTTTCTCTCTCTCTTTCTCTCTCTCTCAGTCTTTCTTAATTAACTTCTAAATAAATCAGAATATCTTTATCTTTATTGTAGAGATATTAGTTCAAAACATTAATTAATAGCTGTAAATGATTAACATCTGATATTTTTGTACACAATATGGTCAAGTAATATCACAGTAATATCTGTACAATAGTATTAATAAAATCATAATGATCACATGGTTTCATGAAAATGTATTACCGGCACCCTGAATTCTTTCAAAAGATAGCAAACTTTACTTTGTATTTTCCTGAAAATATGAAAAATGGTCCTCCAGAAAAAAAAAAAATAATTGCCAATTAATACATGAAGGAGTTTCAAGCTAAAAATGCACTGGTAATAATAATACTTTTGAAACATGTCAAACAAATACATAGAAATTTGATGTTGAAAGAGAGATGCATGTATTGTAGCTTGTTTGAATGCTAGGAGAGTCGGTGCATGCGACAATATGAAACGGTTGCAAAAAGCATTATTTTAAATTGTATATTAAGAATATGAATATAGCAACATTTGGTATTTGTATGGTTAAACATTATTAAAAGAATATGTAATAATAACAAATAAAACATGGGTTGTTAAAGTATAAGATGGTCAAAAAGCAAGAGAAAATTTGTTTGAACTAATCTCTAAATGTGAAAACTCTAGATCTACTTGGTTTTCTTTGCTAGTAAATTCAGCAAGTCTGTAGCTTTACTATTTCTTGTTAATTATCAACTTGTTTCTGTAGGAAATGTTATAATTATATATCAGCTATTAATTGGACATATGAACTATATGTTCTTCCTTTATATATCTGTGTTTCTTCACATTAATTCAATTTTGATGAAGATAAACTTATTACTCTCCTTTGCTATGACCTGTTATCTGTAATTAACAACTGGTTTCTTGCAGCAGTCTTGCAATCTTTCATTAAAATGTCTATTCTTGAATGATAAAAAAATCTGTTGTTACTTATTTCACAACACTATTCTGTTGCTGTGATATACAAATATTTTCTCCACTCTCCTACCTTCACTGTAACTTCACTATAATGTTCTGTGAAGTCATATAACATGTTGCTATCTAATGTATACATTGTTTCTTTCCATGCAATTAGCTGGTTATTTTGGTAAGACATCAAAGCACCAATTAAAGCTTTATTTTACACTGTTTTTAGATCTGTGTGATATATTTTCTTCAAGCTATATTATCTTGTTTATAAGTCAATTAGTTATATAGCAAAGGTAACCCTAATTAGGTTTCTGAGAGTTAATTGGTTTTATCCAGAATGTAACAGAGTCATGAATGTTAATTAATTCAGTGTTACTTCTATGAAATTACACACAAAAAGGTGTAAATGTTTTTATTTGAAAAAAAATTACAGTCAAATAATAAATGTATTATTACTTTTACAGGTATATTTTACCTAAGCATTTTGTCATTTATGCTTACCTATATTCAATCAGAACTTAAAATCATATCTTTATGCACTCTAGCATTTGAATAAATTCAGAGACATTATTTGATAGATAAAACAATTAACTTGTATTGTAAAATAAAGTAGAGTAATTTGGGCATTGTTATTGAAGAGGGAGCTGTGTAAGTAATAATGTAAAACAAATGTATAATGTTATCTTGAAGAAAATATTTTGTACAGATCAGAGGTCTTTATATTGAAAATGGTTTACATACTTTTAATTTTTTCATCATTTATATCTATAGTCATGGTAACTGGTGTTTTTATTTTGCTTGCATGTGTTTAATGCTTAAGTAACAGATACAATTTAGGGTGTGGCTGAAAAAATATACTGATATATAATTTAAGAAATATAAGAAATTAATTATTTTCTAACAAGAAAGTATAATCTATTTAATTTACATACAGATACACTGATTTTGGGATCAGATTTGGTTAACTTACCTGCATGACTAATTGTTGTTATATTTGTTTTGTGTTGAGATTGTACTTAAGAATGTTTGTTATATATGAAAAAATATTTTTAAAACCATATTGCAAATCACCAAACACTATAAAACATGTTAGAGATACTTATGAAAAAAACTTTAAGTGGTATTTAATAAGTTTTATAGCTTTGATATCAGAGTAAGTTTGTTAGGGGAAGTTTTTAAATATCATTTCAAAAACTTATGTCTTCCTCCACCAGTAAAGCTGGAACGTCACCATATGACCTATCTTGTGTCGTTGTGACATAAAACCCAAACAAACAAGCGAACAAATTTGAAAACCTTGCATTTAGATAGATTGAAGATTATCTCACTTAACTTATTTGGCATTCTGTAATTTTGTTATTTAAGGGTAACTTGTATATCATAATTATTATGGTGTTTTTGTTTTTGTGTTTTTGAAGAATTTGGTGCAGTTTTTACTTTTTCTAAAAGGAGTACTTATCTCTTAAGTTGATAATCACAAGATAGATTCATCTTAATAATGATAATTACAGTGATAATACAAAAACTTTAAATGCTTTATTATTGTTTATGAAGCATTCTTTTTGTTATTGTTTCATTTCTTTTCAGCACTTTTATAATAATAGACTCTGAAATACATTTTGAGTTTTTTTATGTTTAGTAAATTACAAGTTTTTATTACATTTTGTATGTTTTGTGTAGATTTTACAGAATATAAATTTCATACAATGCTTTGAATTGCTTCAACATTGCAGCATTAAATATAATCATTACAAAAAGTACTGTGCTATCTATATTAGACATGACATACCATTTAGTAAATATATAAATAGAAAATAGTTAGGGAGATCTTGTTTATGTAATGTAAAGTTCAATAAAATTTTTGATAAAAGAAATGTAATTTAACATAATTCTTTTTATTAAATGGATTAATTTTTATGATAGTTGAATATGATAACATAATTCATTTGTTGTTAAGCTAAAATCATGATTGCAGTGTAATGTTCTCTCTGTAATGCATTTAAAGTTCTCGCATGAACTGTTTCTATTGTTTGATCATGCTTGAAAAGTTCTGAGATTGAATTACTTCCCTTTATGCATGGTTTATATAATGAGACTATCATTAAGTACAGGGCTAATTGATGATATGTAATAACTTTCAGAGTTCAAGTTTGATGGATTTGGTTTGGATGTCTGCAGAAGTATGGTGGCTATGCACGATGTATCCTTTAAAAGATGAGCCATTAAGTGGTTGTAGGTTGCTGACTTATGCCACACTACTGTTGGTTAAAGTCTTGTTAGGGATGTTGAATTATCAATAAGAAATAGCTATTTTGTGACATTTAAGACATTTTGTGTTTCTATCAAGGTGCACATGAGTGCCTCAAATTATATATTGAGGGGTCTTTGAGGGTGTGAGAGAGCCATTAGGAGCTAAAACTGTCTTTAAAAAGTACTAAAAATGGTTGTCTAGTTTGTCCTACATCCTCAGGAAAGCAAGCAAGCTCTTGAATATAGCAAATTGATTTTATATGAAATTGTTAATCAAATTATTTTATGTTTGGTCTCTGTGACTTGACTATCATTTGTGTTGTTAATTAGTTCTGGTAAAATTTTAACATTATAACATACCTGTGAATTATCTTGAAGACAACATGGATTATGTAATTGAATTACAAAATTATTCCAACTAAAAGCAATTATGTCTTTAACATAAATACAGGGTGATTTATCTGGAAAACTAGGATTTGATGAATTTAAACAGTTGTGGCAAGATCTGAGAAAATGGAAGGTATGATCATTTACCAGAATAGTCTACCTAGATTAAAATGATTTATTTACAAACATTCCTGTAAATTTTCATATGAATAAAATCAGTTTAAATTTTTATGTGACCTTGGGATAGGTTTTGTCATATCGAGTCTGCAACTTTCAACATTTGCTGTCAGGGTATTACGGTACCTATTTTAATAATCTTGTAAGTTACAGCTGAATGTATTTGAATGTTGACCTTATTCCTTATTACTGTTCATTTTGGAGGAAAAAGTTTTGATGTTTTTAGAATGTGTGTTTTTTTTTCTATTTCATGATATTTAAACCTCATATCAATTTTTTTTTGTTGTTTTTTTTTCTCATAATATTTTCATCTAAATACTTTAATATCAATATAGATATATATAGAAGCAAACTGTAAGTATTGCTCTGATGATGCGCAAAAAAACATATATTTTCTTGTTTCTTCGCCTAACACATTAATTACGTAAACAAGTTTTTTATCTTTATAATGAACATTTTGTTATTTAAACTTGCCTGGGAAGGGCCTTCATTAATGTTGGTAAAACTTGTGGCCCAACCCATTTGCTTCAAACTGTTAACAAACATGTTTCCTTATTCGTATTTATTGTATTCTGTTTTGTATTAATGTAATCTTTATGTTACATGTACATGTTTCAAGCAATAAAATATGATTAAATCAAAATGAACTGACATAAGGAATAAGGTCAACATTCAAATACATGTACATAGAGTGATTTATGGCATGTTGATAGGATATTGTTTCTAAAAAAAATGTTTCTTATTTACAGGCAGTATTTAAAGAGTTTGACAAAGACAACAGTGGACTTCTTAGTACTTATGAATTGAGAGGTGCTTTCAGATCCAGTGGTAAGTTATAACCATCATATATAATTTGACATGATAACACAACCTTGTCAAAGTTTGTCAATTTTTGTAAAAACTAATTGTCTTGTATAATTTTTAGATTTTGGTACAAAAAAACACCAAATTATTATGTTACTTCAAACACATAAAGAGATAATTGTTTTACGCAAGCCAGCTATCAATCTAGATTTTCAATGATCTGTTTTACCTGTTGTCTTGTATAGTATCAATGTAGTACATAGCCAATTCTGAAATTCAATTTTATTTAGTTCCGCCCATTCTGGTTTTGGGCAAACTTGTGGACAATACGCCACTTCTCATGGAATAACACTTTCCTGTTATTTTGGAGGGTTCATGATAACTGCTGTATGAACACATTGGGGATGTTTCTAAATACAAAATATTGTCATTTTCATGTCTTAAATGTTGAACTCGGTTTAATCTTGTGCTACGCGGTGGCGTGAATGGTAGCTTGCAAGAACCACTTTCTTCCATAAACATACTCAAACTGCTTGGTATGAATATATTTCAATTTTAAGTTTGCTTAATGTTTACGAAAGTAAAACTTGATAAAACCTCATGTGAATCAAGCTAAAACAGAGCAATATGGTAGGTTTGCAGTCAAAGTTGAGGAAGAATGACTTTCAAATTAAAATGAAATGAAAACATTTCTCTTATTGGTGATTCTTTGCTTTTTTCAGGTTTTAAACTTAGCAACAGGTCCCTCTCTGCAATTATTCTGAGGTTTAGCAACAAGAAAGGAGAGATTGAATTTGATGATTTTGTTTTGTGTGCAATTAGATTGAAGACCATGATAGGTAAGGTCCAGTCCAAAATTACTGTACTTACTTCAGGATACTTTAAGGGGAATATGTTGCCATGCAACTGTATTATTAAACATTCAATTATTAGTTTTTAAATAAGTTATTGAAATTAAATTTTTCTTGGTTTTATACTCAGTAATACATAACTTAGCATTTCTAGGAAATATAACATTATTTTTTTTTAAATTATTTAAGATTAATATATACCAATTATACTTCTGGAATATTTAAAGCTTTTATCTAAAGTTTAGTATACAATAATTTTCAAACAAATTTATTCTAATGAATCCCTTAATATGATTATTTTAAACCCAATTTATATTCATGACTTACTATATATATAGGTTTAAAGCTAATTTATTTTATATTATGTATGTTTATATTTTCAGCATCATTTAAAGCATATGACCAGCAAGGTCAAGGCGTGGCAGCTTATGACATTGATACAGTAAGTTACAGTCTTCTAATGTGCAACTAGTTAACATAGCTTACCAACTGTGAACTTAATATCTCTTTATCCCGATATATTCATCTTTGTGACATGGTGAATCATTCCACTTCATGGATGTTTCAGTTTATCTAGTTCATATATTACTGATACAGTACCAAAAAAAATATAAATTTTTCTCTGCTATTAATACATAAACCTAAAAAGAAAAAGTTGAATGTTCTCTATCGTTTTTGCTGGAAAGTTAAAAAGGTAAAATAAAAATTTCTTTATTGAAGATGTGGTATAAATGATAAGAGATATGGTTACAAGTATTGGAATTCTAGAATCTTGCAAACATATACACTATGAAATATGTCTGTTATGTTCCAATGTCTGTTCACAAAGCTTACACAGCACTATTCTCAAGTTTTTGAAATAATACTTTGATGTTTTTTTAATTTTATTTACAGTTTATACAGACAACTATGTACTCATAAACACCAGCAAGCTTGCAGTTGATGGCAGGAACATGAAGTTACCATGGTGACATAAACAGTAGAAGAACAGTTTTATACAGTAGAAAAATACATAGTGTAGGAATATATTAACCTTTGACATTATTGTCTGTTGTACTGGACTATGTTATAACAGATTATATGAGATTTATTACCTGTTGTAGATTTTATAAACCTTTGGGGTAGTTTAGTGTAATTTACCCTGATATACCCTTTGCTTAGTAGACAAATTCTCATTTAAGTTGAATATATTTGTATGCATTTTCTAGGTATTTTGCAATGTTTTTACCTTTTATTTTAACTATTTGAGGCATGCAAATCCATGATTATAATTCAGAAAATCAGAAATTAAAACAAAACATTGTCTTAAATATATCTTTTTAATTTGCTTTTTAAATATGTAATAAATGGAATTTAGAATTACTCTTTTTGCATATAATTAATATATTCAAACGAAAATCAAAATTTTAAGCAAAACAGGAATCATTTTACAAAAGTTTCCAAAGTCTTTAAGACATTTTATATTTTTTAAAAAAATCAACGCATCAAATTAAAAACATTTAGAAAAATCATACATGTACCTATACAGGGAAAGGCACAGTTATAATGAAAGAGCTTTAATTTAATTGCCAATAAGAAATTAACACACATTGACAAGTGTTTTCACACCTGCATAGATAAAAAAGGTGATCATTATCTGGCAATTGAACATGTCACCTGTTGAGATTATGTTTAAATCTACATAAAAGTACACATAAAGTTGACACTTTATAAAAATTCCTGTCCGGTTTTCAGAGAATTTTTTATGCATGTTTAGCAATAGAAGCCATAGAAAATCGTCCGGTTTTCGAAATTAAGAGGTTCCGGTATTCAGAGGATTTTTTTCAATGAACATATAAGGAGAAAATATGGGACTTTAAAAATGGTCCGGTTTTCAGAGGGTCTGGTTTTTGGAGATTTTACTGTATTCATCTTTGTGACATAGTGAATCATTCCACTTCATGGATGTTTCAGTTTGTCTAGTTCATATATTATTGATACAGTAAAACTTTTTTTTCTGCTATTAATATAGAACCTAAAGAGAAAAAATGAATTTTCTTTATTTTTTTGCTGGAAAGTTGAAAAGATAAAAATTATTTTACTGAGGATGAGATATAAATAATAAGAGATATTTTTTAAGTATTGGAATTCTAGAATCTTGCAAACATATACACTATGAAATATTTCTATTATGTTCCAATCTCTGTTCACAAAGCTTGCACAGGCACTATATATCCTGAAGTTTTTGAAATAATACTTTGATAAGCCGTCCGGTTAGCTCAGTTAGGTAGAGTGTTGGACTGTGAATCGGGCGAACCGGGTTCGATTCCCGAACTGCGCAGGTCACTTTCGTTGTGATTGATCATGAAATCCTTTCTACGGTCATTCGCACTGTACCTCTGCTCTGGCATGTACAGAAGTTTCAGTTCCTTGTGAAAGTGAAGGCAAGTAGTACTGGTAAACTGCTTGACAGCCTGCCCAGGAACAATGCGGTTGTTGAACTGTGCTACGGTGAATTCAATGAGGCTTACTGTCGTGATCCGGAGTGAAAACTACCAACACCACCACCACATAATACTTTGATGTTTTTTATTATCTATTTACAGTTTATTCAGACAACTATGTACTCATAAACACCAGCAAGCTTGCAGTTGATGGCAGGAACATGAAGTTACCAATGTTGACATAAACAGTAGAAGAACACTTTTATACAGTAGAAAAATACATAGTGTAGGAATATATTAACCTTTGACATTATTGTCTGTTGTACTGGACTATGTTATAACAGATTATATGAGATTTATTACCTGTTGTAGATTTTATAAACCTTTGGGGTAGTTTAGTGTAATTTACCCTGATATACCCTTTGCTTAGTAGACAAATTCTCATTTAAGTTGAATATATTTGTATGCATTTTCTAGGTATTTTGCAATGTTTTTACCTTTTATTTTAACTATTTGAGGCTATAAATGTTGTGATAAAGTATATTACTGAATATTTGTTAAAAAAAACAAGTTTTTTTGCTTGACAGGAAAATACTGTGTATAATCAACGGCAATCCTTTCTTTATATACAGATCTAAATAAAAACATTTATGTCTACTTATACAGTCATAAAATTTTATTCATATTCTGTCTTTACTGAAGTCAACGTTTTTCATATTTTTACAAATTTTTCAGATTTTTTATGAGCATATAAACAAGGTTTAGCATTTGCTATTAACAAGTACAGGGTACATTTATTAGTTAATACAGTGTCTGACATACTGTTCTAGGAGATTAAGAGTTTTGCTATCAGTTACAAACTATGATACTACTAGAAATTATATTAGTTGGTAACTTGTAAAATACTAGAAAAAAATCTATATGAATGACATTTTTGTCTGTCATTATTTACTGTTGAGTAAGTAAAAATTGTAGGAATGTAGAAGCTATGATAAAACATAATTTCTTACTATTTATATATTCTACCTCATGATGCAAAAGGTACCTTGCCAGCGTCATTAATGCAATTATCAATATTTGCATTTCTTTTTAAAATTTTGAGATTGTTTTATTTTGGATAGATAAAAGCTATGCATGCATCTTGTCTTGAATATTCCTCCCTTTTTGAAATCATTTTAATGAAAGTCAAGTGAAATATTTTTTTTACTTTGCTTGGTAAATTTTGTGGTGATGGGGCAATATGGGATATTTTATTTATCTATGATTTATAATTGGCTAACGATTGGTGTTAATTCTTAAAGGAAGCACTTGTTATTATGAAATGTTGTAATTATGTCTTCCGTACAATTGTTAAAAGCATTTCGTTTCTTTGACCAAAGTGCCTGTGTCATGTCCTGTGATAAGGTCCACTTGTTACCTGTGCATAAACACACCTGTGGACAAGCGTTTTTATAATTTAGGCACTTATTATTTGTTTTGTTTTTGTCTCTTTTTTTAAATGACTTAAAAAGAGTAGGTTGAAATTTAAATGGAAATATTTTATTTATTAGGTTCTACATAGAATTAAGCTATGAATTCACATACAAAACTTGTTTGTAGCATTGTTACAATGTAGGTTGTTAATTTTATTATTCTTTATAAGTCATTTCATTATGAATTAATTACCCTTTTCTACCTACATGAGTGAAAAACATTTATTTTGCTTATGTTCTGACTGTGCTAATTTTGAGAGACTTATATTTTCTTACTTTCTTATTCTTTATCACTTATTGAGATTGTTTACAGTTTATAAATTGTTGCTTTTACATTATGTGTCTTTGTTGAATGTCAGTTTATAGTTCATATTGAATGTTTCGAAAGCAGTCTTTTACAATGAATTTTATTTTTACATTCAACTTGTCATGGCACCTTTATGCTATTTTATATAAGCTTGATCAAAAACATTGGTAAAATCTCTCTAGCAATATCAGCACAATCTGAAAATATGTTATGGTTTTACATTCTTTAAAGATGATTGGCATTTCAGTGGAAATGTATAAACTTTTGTTGTTGATTTTTTTTATCAAACACGTCAGTTGTTATTGAAATATTGCAAGTTTTTGAATCTCTTGTCACCTTAAATTGTTGCTAGGGAAAGTATTGCCAATGTATCTGGATACTATAGCAATAATGTAAGATATATAGTCTTGAGTTAATAAATTATTTACACCAATCCTTGTTTTCGTTTCTGTGGTGTCCCATTTTCAGTAATAAAGTGGAAACTTTGAACAAATGTTACTCCGGCAAGCGGATTTTAAGACTTGTAAGTAGTCTTGCAAATCAGTTTAACAGAAGTTTTGTTTTATGACATGTGAATTATGTTGAATCTGCAAGTTATTGATTACTGGCAGGTTATTACCATTTGACTGGATAGCTGTTTAATATGCAATCAATGAAGTACAGATAGAATGAAATTTTAGACTTACCATTGTCAAGTTGTCAGACTCACATAGTTCTGTAATTGTTCAATTTTACAGAAAAGCTGCATAACGGAATATTGTATACAAGTAAATTGAATTACCCCGCCTTATTCAAGACAAAGTGGTAGATATGAATCCTTTGCATGTTTTTTATGCATATTTGCTTGTAACAGCACCATTGACAGTTGCTATTGATTTGAAATTGTATAAAAAGGGTTTCCATATACCATCATTTAATAAGAGACTTGCTCTGCAGTTTTCTTGAACTTGAAATTGGGAAAATTTAATAAACTTTTGATATATGTAGATGATTAAAAAATCGGCATCTTAAAATGTCAAAATAACTAATAGCTAAATATCGTTAAAAAGGGAACCTCATTTGCCACGTACACACAAGAGCAATTACTAGCCACAAATTTTAGTGATTTTATAGCATTGATTAACATTTAAATATAATATTTCTACAAAAATAAAAAAAGCCCTAATGATTTCGTATGTTACCAAAAACTGAATTTAAGTTTATACTGATAAGCCTTACTAGGGGACAAAATCAAAATGAAAGTAGACACAAAAGGATTCCACTTATAAACATGTTTCAACATCTTAAAACACGTTTTTGTTTTAGGGAAATCAGTTTAACTGTCTTTAAAGTGATTCGAGGTTAGCGGTGGCCTAGTAATAAATGTGCCTGCCTTTTGACCCAGGGAACGTGGGATCGAGCCCTACTGGTAGGACGACCACGTAACCCCATATGACACCATTACTGATGAGTTCCAGGAAACAGACTCGGAATGAGCTCAAATTAGCTTCAATATTTTATCATAATCGATCTTAAAAAACCGTTAAACATAACGATTTCTTGAAAACTTGACCACCATTTGTACATATACAAAAGTGATAATAAACTATGGAAATGTGTAATATGTATATAATTGCAAGTAATTTAAATTTAAAACATTAATATTAAAACAAGTAAAACTTGGATTACTTTTTGGATGCTCTCCCTATTGAGTTTAGCAGACTCGTGATGTGTCTAGCAAGGGAAATAACAAAAATGCGCTTACTTTTATATTTTGTATATTTGTCTCCAGCTATAATAATGGTTCTTGTAACCATGGAACTTTCTTTACAATACAAACAAATGAACTACGATAATCAACAAACTAAAGTTAATGCCATACTAGTTTGAGGATGAAAATAGCAGAAATGAAAACCAGAATAGTTATTTTTAAAATTAAATAGCAGTATTAAGATATGTAAAGTCTCACTGACATTTTCCAGAATATAGTATATCCTAGTTAGCTATATAATATTTTCAACTAGGCCCATAAATGGAGGGAAACATTTCATTCCACACCTATAATGAAAATCCTATTGAGTTTCAGTTTGTTACATTAAAGCTACAAATGTTTAAAACACTGACTGCTTAAAAGATTTATCTTATTTACATTGATTTCCTTTTAAGCAGCAATCTGTTTCCCATTTGGAAGATAAATCCAGCAACGCTCGACAGAACATTTTAAACGATTCAACCTCAGTCAAATTTGATTTCCATGTCTACAGACTCCCATGGGAGCACGTGCTAAATCGGTTCCTCTCCTAAATAGAATATTAACCTTTGTACTGATTCAATCTCTAACTTGAATTCTCTAGGAGAGAGTCATTTACCATTTACAATTCATTGCTTTGAGCTTAAAGCAAGTAAACAAATTATTTTGTAATTGTTTACGACATGAATGTGTTTGTTGGTATAAATTTACGCTTTCATACCCGAATGAAAGTTCGTGTAACTAAATCGTAGATATGAATAGATTTGTTTAATGTTTAAGTTGTAACTTAGATAATGTTTGAGGTAGAATATAAGTAATAAATCAGATGCTGTCTAAGTAAGATGTTTTAGAGATTGATATTTTATGTACAACCAATGTTTGAAACATAAAGGAAGTTGTTTAAAGCCAAATGTCCAGAAAAACAGCTTGATATTAATTGCATTAAGTGTGAAGTAAGACTAGTTTCCCGGAATATGACTTATAATTCAAATTTTGTATTTTAACATTGAACTACAGATGATAAGGTGACAACCAGTTTATTTATAACAGACAAAAGTTCTCAGTAAAAGCTGAAATATCGTCAACATACTGTGCAAGACTTTAATTAAATGAGTCATTTCTAATTGCCTTGAACGAAAATTATGTTTTATGTATATCTATTATTTATAAATGTGGATCTTAAACTGACTCGTAGATTTAATTGATGCCATATCACACAAGTAAAACAGTCGTAATAATTCCATAACCCAAACTGATTTTCAGGAAACACATTTCATGGTGAACAAATTTCTTCTCTGAAGATTCTTTTATGTTTATGTGGAAGAAACGGGACAGAGTACAACACTTTTTAACGATTGGAAGTATTATTAACATGAAATGTTAAAGAAAAACAAATAACTAACAATGAATCAGTAAGGTTTACACCAGTGTTTATTGCATCGAGTGACACGCAGGTCTGTTATGCTAAAACAAACTTCCATTAATTGACAAATTTACGACCAAAAAACAAAGATTGTAAGCTATGTTGTGAAGATAACAAATATGAGAATCATTAATTTCACTCTTACGAACAATGACCCCATACTATATCCCCTTGGGGAGGTTAGATTACAGCTAAAATTGTTTTGTCTTCGTTTGTGACGCCAAGTTGTCAATGTGAGACTGTTGGTTATGATATTAGATTTATTCTTACCATTGGTGTCACGCCAAAAGGCTTTGGTAACAATCATATATTTTCTAATTGTTTTCTTGAAACTGAGAAGGCACGTAAGGTAGCAGTGTATGTAAAATACAAAGTATGACACATTTAGTTTTGTTGCGGTTAATAGAAACATTGATATGAATAAATACGGTATTTTAACATTAACAATTATGATTGGTAATTTAAATATTTGTCATTGTGTAGCCTTTTATATTCAGAGTATTTAATGTATCAAACTTTTATAAAATAAAACTGTTCATAGCCTATAAAGATAAATGTAACAATTGTTTTCTTTGAAATAACACAATGTATTTTGACACAACTTTAAATTAGTAAACAATACCGTTAAATGACAATATCTGGGAATAATGTATATAAAGCTGTAAAAGTTATGTAAAGTAGCTGCACCTTTCATACATCAATAAATGTAGTAATAATTGAGTGTTTGAAGTAAAAGACATTTTGTATTTTCATCTTTGAAAAACACAACATTGATAAATAATACTAAAGATAAAAATACACATTCTCCATTGTAGAAATGATCATAAAAATAAATATAGTCTGGCCACGCCTTTGTCTATAAAGCGTTAAACAGATTATCACAAAGAGCTTCTAGAGCGTCTAAAAGTCTAACTTCTCCATGGCAATTGGTATCATATATACCAAGTTAAGTGTTTTTGTTGTGCGTGCGACGCCTGGCATTCACTATGGACGTAAGCAGTTGTGATATGATTCTGAGGACAGTATCTTTTCATTTTTTCCACTAGTTTTCTCATCATTAAAAGCTTAAGATGGATCATAGTGTTAGAACAATACATCTTGTAAATACCTTCTATTTTATGGTAATCTATAACCATTAATGTACGTTCCATGGAACTATGCCTTTAATACGAAACTTTTGAATTACAACAAATGTGTCACAAAAATACATAGTCACTGAAGTTTAACATGACAAATAAAAAGTTAAGAATCGATTTGTTGGAACCGATTCATGAGAGGCGTTGTCTAGTTCAAAAGTTTTTGCACTATCAAGCATCATTTACTTAAGTAGTCATTCCATTCTCATAACTAACGGAGGACACTTCTCATTTTGGCAGACACTTACATCAGCATACACCAAAGAAATTACAAAAACTTGAATCACACTGTATTGCACCGTATTAAATTAAGGACAATTTTATCACACGGAATAGGAAAGTATTTAAATATATATTGAAATTAACAATAAAAAATATCGGGAATAATAATCGCTGATGTTGTCAGAACTTGTTGTCCAACCCCGTGCCGTTTCTTATAGTTTTTGCTATGTGTAAAATTAGAATATTCAAAGATCAATTAAATAGACTTCTTGAACATCAATATTATGTGAAAATTGTGCTTTGACACCTTGTCACTTAAAATTAACCTTTTAAAAGAATAAAAATAAATTTCGGCTGGCATTAACATAATTATACAAATGTTTACTTATACATTGTATATTCCTGTAAGAAGTAAACAAATCAATCGGATACACTATACATTGACACAAACTATTAAAGATACCAAAATTGAAAATGATATATTGTTTTTGTCTTTCCCGGTGTGAACAATGTCGATGTGGCGTCAAATTATTTGACAGGATTATTGCCTTCTTGACGAACAGACTGAGGCGCTGGAATAATATCGATGTTATCATTGGACTGTACATTCTGAGAAAGTTTATGATAAAAATAAGGAACAACAACTTAATATCTCCCTACACATTTGATAAATTCTATATCATAGTGACTTCATCATTCTGACTTTTAACCTTGATACCATATTAGTAACATATGCATGTGTAACTATGTAATGATTATTATTGAAAATCACCAGAAATAATCACATGAATATTCCTGAAACAGGCATTTATTTATTTTTTTTTTTCATTCTTTAAATTATCACTTAAATAACATATCTGAAGTTATATTGTTTCTGCGATCGAAGGGGCAATGGTTAAACACTTAACTTTGTAGTGACTCGAATGAGAGATGACTACAATGTGATCTAACCAATGCCAGCAGGTCTATCTTTCATATATTACGTTGTATATGTAGAATATTTCAGAAAAAATAAAAGCAAATTAATGTGCATTCCGATCCATTTTCTAGTACGTAGAAATTTTGTAACGTTTATTTCTTACTTTTAAACAGAATTGAGTTATCAATTTAGATAATTTAAATAAATTCTAGTGTCTCCATATTCAGTACTAAAGGCAGCATTAAAACAGTGTGCAGTTATCTTATTATGAAGGCAGATCAACAAATAGATAAATAATGATATTTGACAACTTAAGTAAAATGTCTGAAGCGTTTAGTTTAAACAAGCGTTAAACTTGTTTCTGGAAATATTTCGCACTTTCGCAATTTTATTAGTTCTCTTATTTTGAATTTTTATTATCGGCAAAATATACGTATATCTTAAATATTTGGCACTTAAATCATAATGTTAAATGTTTCAATGAAATTATCTCTCTTAGTAGTATTGGTGAGTTGCTTTTCATAAGACTTAAATAGGTACACAAGTTAAAAAAAATGAAAGTAGAAGATGATGACAATAAGAAAGCTATTGTAAGATCATGACAAAGTCAATATCAACATGAATATACTAAAACATAGTAAAGAATTAAATTGCTAACAAAGAATATAAAAACACACACATATAAACAAGAAACGCATGACACGTCAAATTATCCTGACAAATCATACAATAGAAATCAGATTCAAGTGTTTAGGCGAAAAATAATAGAATGCATATGGCACCTTAGTCTGAATAAAGAGTTATTTTGCTCACTAACCTGCATGAAACAAATCATTACATTGTATATTGTAATGATAATTGAAAGGGTTTGTAAAAGTCCCTAAAAAGTTTAAATTATAGTAAATGTTAATGAATAAAATCAAACAAAGCTTCTTTTGTACGACATAAATGCATATCATTTTCATGCGTGACCTTTGGTCATTTAAAAAAGCTTTCAAAAGAGACCTTTTAACATATTTTACATTGAAATTATAATCGTGGCATCTCTTTGATGCAAATTATTCGGCATTCTATATAAGTTAACGTAGGAAATAAAAGTTAATGTGAAATGAATGACATAAAACTATTGCAGAACAAAAAATAATTAATAATATTTTACATACATTTTTATTATTTTACAACACATGTAACAGTATTACGCAACATATTTTATACATAGATAATATACATATATAACATAAAACAACACTTACGTTCATGGAAGTTAATTTAAAACTTAGCTTTCAAATAGTAAGTTAAAACGAAGATAATTTTTGATGTTATTTTTTTTCAATTAAAATCATAACCTAAGATGCTATATCTTACTTTATTTGTTTTTACTGATTTTATATTTTTCACATTCATAGGATTTCATTAGAATGTATACTGTGCATTTCTTTCTAAATACATGTATACATGTATTCAGATTTTAGACGTAATAAAACTATTCTATTTCACCGTTAAGAGAAGAGTTATTCAGAAAAAATCAAAATGCTGAAAAAACCTCAAACTTTGGCGCTAACTTAATTAAATAAAGGCTTTTGCATTATTTATGATTAGTATAAACAAATGACAAAAGGATTAAGTATTTCATACACATAAATCGAGGTTATATAGATAAATTCTAGACCGTGACAGATCAATTTCATACATAAGGAAGTGATTTAAAATCACTCAGACATGCAAATAAAGCTTAAAGATCTCTGTGGCAGAAATCAGTCTTTACATATTGATTCCTTCAATCCATGAAACAAATGCATCAAATCATTTCTGTTAAAAGGACAGTTAAAAATATGGTTGTGTAACTAAAAGCCTGCTGGCGGCAACTAAATCTACCAATGCGACAAGTACAGAATACATTCGCGGCATTTGATCATGATAAGTCCTTGTTTTGAAATTTTCTCTCACATTGATAACTGTTATTTTTCAGTTTGAAAGATGGACATGTCCAATTATTTCATAAAGTATGGTAAGAGTTAACAATCTATGTTTGTACATAAACCGAACGTCTTTAATAGCTTTGACTTTGGACAATAAAATGTGTAGAAGAATGTAATAATAGTATGGTAGTCGTGATTCAAATTAAAGAGAGGTTAAAGTAAAGCATTTCATACATACATGTATTGCATTATATACTTGCAAATGTCAAGCTAGATCAAATTATCAATCAAGTTGTCAAGCATTTTATCATTTAAACACGTTGATTGCTCCAAAGTAGTATGGGGACTGTATGTACGATGGTTGCCACACACAGTCTAAACAATTACTAGCTGTAAATCAAAATTTAACACCTGGGGCACAAGTGTATCTCGGTCAATTTGAAGTAAACTAAGAAACATTATTTCAAGAAAAAAATATATAGACACTTAATTGAAAAGCATAAATACAGACATGAAGTATGTGCATGAGGCGCACGTTATAAAGCTAACACATTAGATTAAATATAGGTGAAATGGTCAATGACGGTAAAACATCTGCCTGATGTGTGTCATAAGAAATTTTACAAGGTAACAAAAATCAAGAATAGGATGCACATATCCAAGCGATTATGAACAGCGAAGAAATTTAAAAAATAAAAACAGACATCAAACAGTTTGCACTGTCGGAAATATTAGACTGTAAAATGACTGTGCTGAGAAATTCAGAAGACATGTATGTCTCGTGGTTTGACATAAAAATGATACCTTGAAAATCAGAAACATTGATTTGGCAACCTTGTGTTTCCAGGTAGTCTTTTAATTTAATTGTTCTGTAAGCAAATTAAATGATATCTTGCTGTTTTGTATTGGCATGTACACTCAGCAATGGCGTAATAAATGTCAGTAAAATCTTAAAGAAGCCCTCTTAATTCGCAACCTTCGCACATAATATTATTTGTTCACAAAAATATCAGGTGTCAATGTCTGTGGTCTTGCAAATCATTTTTCTAAAAGCTTTTCTAAAATTACTATTCCCATAAGCATATAAGAAAGGATTTACAGCTGAATTTGCGTGACTCAGAAGAATCGTTACTAGCAAAAGTTCTAGGGGATATGAGCAACTGACGCACATTACAGTAATAGAATTAATAACATTTATTGGAATCCACATTGAAGCGAATAGAAACACAATGATAGCAAGTGATTTTGCAGCTTTAATCTCTCTTCTTAGTGTTGAATTAGGTACCGACGATTCTTGTTGCGTCGTAGATGCGATTTCTAACGCGGCTATCTGGATCATTTGCTTGCGCACGATTAAATATATTCGAAAGTAAATCGCACAAATGAAAACTAAAGAAACCAAAATGCACCCAAAGAAAATAAAATACACCGTGAATTTCATATCTATAACAGTTACAAATCCGCATATCCAGTTTTCGTTGTACAATTCTTTTAGGTTCCATCCATACATGGGTATAAATCCAACAAATAGTCCTACACACCACAGCCCAATATTTGCAGTTAGGGAACGTTTAACATTAAGATGTTTAGTATACGCAAACGGGTGAATGATTGCAATATATCTCTCCAAAGCAACAGCTAAAAGATTAAAAATTGAAATAGTGCAGAAGGCAATTATGAAGCAATTTGTGAAAACGCATCCAAGGAAATTATGAGGTAGCCCAAGGTAGCTAAGAACTGCTATCGGAGTAACTGCAACACCAACGACGAAATCTGCTAATGCTAGACTGGCAACGAAACAATTTGTAACAGTCTTCAGGCTCCGGTTTCTTATTATCAGTAAAAGAACTATTCCGTTTCCCGCACATGACATAAGCCCTATTACAGCCTCTAAACTGATATATACTGCACTAGATGTGTCCATTTTTTGTTTGTAAATATAAAATATATAAAAGAAATTAAATCTTAAGATTTTGAAATTTTATGAATAAACAGAACACAATTTCGTTTTGTAATACACTCTTAGTTTGTTATGAACTGTAAATCTTATCATGAAATAGTCAATTGTAAAGCAAGCGATTGCTTTCACGTTTCTGATAATAAAATCACACCTTATCAACAGTTGGTATATATAGAGATTGACTCCGTTTCATTTGTTAATAAAATTATTTTTCTATCATAATCTATATAGTAAATTCTCCAGAAATCGCTTTAATCTAAAATACATTTTAATTAATCATTTTAACATAAACATAGTAATACACATATAATCATATTGATGCTTATGGAAGGCTTTGATGCTTTTCATTTTAAAATGTTGCTGGGAGAGCAACTTTATCTTTAAATATGTCTTTGATGTATCACCAATATTATCCCACATGTTTATAAGTGAATGTATTACATTGTTGTTTTGTAATAACAAGATGGCCACATTCGTTACAGAATAACAACTTAGTAGGGAAATTCAAAGAAGGAAACAAAAAATGAATATTCATATATTTGGCCAATTTTCAATGCCTATATCCAGAACTTCTTGAATTTTAAATACAGAAAGAAGATTAAAACAAATTTATACTTCTCGGTATATCACGATCGCATGAAAAGAAGTCTATTATTTTCTGTGTATGTACAAGAACAGAGCATATTGACGAACATTTTTGATTGCTATTTAGGTAAACTCTTTCAAAACTCTTTATTAACAAAATATATAATTAACGACAGAATTGTTATTACATGTGTGATGATCAAAATTTTACTCCAGTCTTTTAATATACATGTAATTTAAAATGACTTTGTAGTGTCAATGAACGTTTTTAATAAACAATTGTAATTCCACTGCAGTCCAGAAAGAAATTAATGTTCGGCAGATTGCATGTATATGCAATAAACTTTTTGTGAAGGTACACTAGAAACATGTGTTTGGATATTAAATAAGCATTATTAGGGAAATAAGTTATTTCATTAACTCTAATAACGTGTAGTTCCTATTGTATTAGATACCATTAATGTTAGAATGAATAAAGGATATTACAATCAGATATAAGGACAGGTTATTGAAAACTTCCACTTTAATCACATCCTGTCATCAAGAGTAAAAATGTTTTATCTCTTTGTCCTATTCACCAGCATTGGTGATGTTGATCAAATAGTTTGTAATCTCTTAATATTCAGTTTGTTCATGTGCCACAAATTAAAAGACGTAAAAGAGCTTTGCCTAATGAGGTGAAATATATCATTAGAATATGATGCCTTTGATTTTGTGAAATTATTTAAATTTCTGTAATATTAATATATATCTTGATATAGTAATAACGATATTGCGATAAAGGTTGCGTTTTTATTTTTTATGGTAAAATCAACCTTGAAAATAAAATGTTTAACGAAAGTAGGCGTGACCTTATACACATATAGCAACAATATATCCCCACAATTCTTACGAGTCCAAATGTTGACATTAACTGGCATAGATGTGCGGTATAAATAGAAGAAAAAATACGGCAACACAAGTACTTGAAATACCCAACCAAGGACACTTAACTTACAATAACACTGATACATATGGATAATATTTTCAAAACTGCCTACACATTTTTACTAATCTGTATATATTTGGAGACCTGTTTTGAATATTATATGCTCGCATAATATTTTCCATTTTGTACTATCCTCGAAAATAATACTAAAATAATTATGTAACATTTTAGTGTTCACAATCTAGTCTCAACTTAATATTTCTTTATGATATAAAGAAAAAAATGTAATTTATATATTAAGGTATGTTATGTACTATCTGAATTAAATTTTTTTCTTTTTCATTGCTAAAAGCTAAAGATGTAATCTGGACCTCAGGTAATAAACTTACTAAAATGAACACATGTCATCAATATCAAAAATAAACAATAAAACAATAACAGTCCTTTGGAACATGTATCTTTATTTAACAAAAAAATAGCGGTACATATATTTTGTTTAATCTTGACACCTTTTCAAACATTCTAAATGCAAAATTAACAACCCTTTGAAAATTGGCATATTCAAAGTTTCATTTATGAAAAAGTAACAATGCCAGAGTGATTACTATCCATTAAAACTCATCTCCAATTTTCATTTTTGTCTTTTTTAAATGAGATTCTTAACGCATAAAAGCTATAATCATCAATAAACGGCACATTAAGAACAACATCTCCTGAGGGTCAATTCAGGATTGCGAGCTTTCACGTTATACGTGAAATATTAATTTGAAATATGTTGCAAAACAATAATAAAGAATACATATTTTTATACCTCCAAACTCGTAGGTATTTCTTATTAAAATGGAAAATGACATTAAAAAAGAAGTTCAGAAATTAGTATTTAAAATTATATATTGTTCAGTATCAGTCTATATCATGCAAATTGTGAAAACAAAGATAACTGGCTTTATTGTACGTACTTACAAACGGCTTTGTTGGCTGGAGCGAATAGTACTTTCATCGCTAAAATGTACATTGTGATATCTGAAGGTTTTTGAGATTATTCTCATCACACAAAAACAAATTTCTACACTGAATTCAATTTGTACACTACATTTATAACGTTAACTTGATAATATCAAGCAAGCACAAAAAACAACTGTCTAATTTCCCCCGGGGGTACCTAGTTTACTAAAATGGCCATTAAAGTTACTGAAGTAAGCATGTAACATGCAAAGATAAAAAAGTATTGTTCATTTAAGAAATAATATCGGTCGTTTCGTTCAAAAATCTGGAAAGAAAGTGATCCCTCGGAAAAGCATTGATAATGGCCATTTTCTTATTTCCTTGTGTCGCACAGCAAAAATACTTAAGCGTTATAGCTAAAAACAATTATTTGAGCAGTAAGTTAATTGTTTAAAAGGAGCACATTATAGTGAATAGTTTGGTGTCTTTATTTTATGTTTTTAATTAGTAAGTTAGTTAGTTAGTAAGTTAGTTAGATAGTTAGTTAGTTAGTTAGTTAGTTAGTTAGTTAGTTAGTTAGTTAGTTAGTTAGTTAGTTGGTTAGTTAATATCTACAAACTAAATAGACTGCAAATAGAAGTTAATTTACTACAATGTACCATATGAATCAAGAATTGGCAAAAACAAATGCTCTTTTTTCTGGTCAGTTGCTTTCATTTTGCAAATATATGATTTCTTAGATTTTCCTATAAATGTTGTATTGACCAATAATCATTGGATTACTTCAGAGATGCCACTTAATTCCAAATACCTATGTGCTAAAAATATATACAAAAAGGTTAAAACAGCATTAACGTGAAGGCGCCTTATACAAAGAATAGACTTTTAAGGTGTATAAAGCAAAAATTATTGTTTGAATTTAAAAGGAAATATACAACCAAAATGCTTGTATGAAATAAATATGGTGATTTATTGCCTAAAATATGAATGGCGCATTCACAAAATCATTGCTAAACGGAAAAAAACCTACTTAAAAAGCAAAATATTTTGTTCCAGTTTCGCGTAATAATCACACGGGCGTAATATTACCATGCGTGTGATAATTACGCGACACCGGAACATTTTATTCTGTTTACGTACTTTATTCATGTGTATTAAATAACAGATATAATCTATGTTACACCTTTTTCGGGAATCAACCATGTAATAATGGAATCAATATAATTTTACTGTTGATAAATATTTTATCAAAGTATTTCATAAAATATTGATTTATACCCTTTAATTAATTTGTTATGCATTTCGTTATGTATATCTAAATATTTAATAAAAAAGAAAGTGCAGCTGAAGGGGAAAAAAGCTACATTATCTGATATTCCTTATTGCAAAATAACACAAAACTCATGGTTTATGATAGTGAGATAGTATGATGTTAAGCAAGTGGACATTTTATTTTGATATATAATATAGAACATGTATATACAGAAATTGGAATTTTATATAAGTATAATAGTCAAGCAACGATTTCAGTGTGATGACAGGTCAATCTTTTAAAAGCTTTTTTGAAGTTACTATTTCCATAAGCATACAAGAATGGGTTTACCACTGAGTTAGCATGACTCAATGTAATTGCTACCAGTAAAAGGTCTAACGATTGTGTGCACGTTTCGCATAGCACAGTAATAGTGTTGAGAATATTAATCGGAATCCACATTAAAGCAAACAATAAAATGACTATAGCCAATGATTTTGCCGCCTTAATTTCTTTCGTGAAGATAGATTTTGCTGCCGAAGATCCTTGTAACTTTGGCAACGCGATTTCCAAGGCAACTGTCTGAGCCATTTGCCTGCGCACAATTAGAAATACTCTGACGTAAATTGCACATATAATAAATAATGGTACCAAAATACATCCAAAGAAAAAGAAGTATACAGAATATCTAAGGTCTATAACCATGGCAAAGCCGCACGTCCAGGTTTCGTTATACAATTCTTTAAGGTTCCAACCAAACATAGGTATAAATCCAACCACAAGTCCGATACACCATACTGTAGCATTCAAAAATAACGCATGTTTAACATCAAGATGTTTTGTATACGCGAACGGGTGAATGATTGCAAAATATCTCTCCAAAGCAACGGCTAATAGATTAAAAATTGAAATTGTACAGAAAGCAATTATGAAGCAGTTGGTAAAAACGCATCCAAGGAAATTATGAGGTAGTCCAAGGTAGCTAAGTACAGCTATTGGAGTGACAGCAATCCCTACACTAAAATCTGCTAACGCTAGGCTCGCAATAAAGCAGTTTGTTACAGTTTTAAGGCTCTGATTTTTTATAATCAACAAAAGAACTATTCCATTTCCCGCACAAGCTAGAATTCCTATAATGACCTCCAAACTAATATACAGTGCGCTAGATATATCCATTTTTGATACAAAATGTTTATAAAACAATCTTTACTTAAAGTTTCTATTAAACACAAGAAATGTCTTAATTGTAACAGCTACCGATATTGATGTGATAATAAATATATTGTTCCAGCCTGAAAAAAATCTGCTGATTATGTCAAGGATTAGGTTAATCAACTCATGAAGCAGGTTTTTTCATGGCATTTTGATAACGTTCCTCGCATCAATGTAACTAAAATCCAAACCT